TGCATGTTTCTTATTCAGGAAAGGGGAACAGGATCGCCTACAAAAATTAATAGAAGTAGTCAAAAAAATTCTTTATAGGAGAGATGCTGTAAACATTTTTTTCCCCTTGCAATACATCAAGCTCCAATTTTTGTTTTTTTTTTCCTTTTTCAGCTACGCATCTCCAGGGAACTTTGACTTGAGAACAGGCAAAATCTGTTTTCCTAATATTGTCTCAATTCTTTTCTTACATTTGTTTCATTACAGCATTAGATTATTCATGACACAATTGGAGTAATTGCACCTCAGCCCATGGCTGCAAGAGGCCCCGTAGTCTGAGTTTTCATTTTTAAAAATAAATAAAAGTAAAGCAAGTCTCTAGCTCTTCCAGAAGGCAAGTTATGGATCAAAAATAGAGATAACATTTTCCTGACCTGAGGAACACAGGTTTCCTATTGCCTTCTTGCCTTGCACCCTGATTGGCTGTGAAGTAATCCTCTCCTCTTTTCTTTGGAAGGAACTCTGAAATGAAGATGATGATAGATGATAGATAGATAGATGATAGATAGATAGATAGATAGATAGATAGATAGATAGATAGATAGATGATAGATAGATAGATAGATAGATAGATAGATAGATAGATAGATAGATATAATATTTAAGGTAGAGCCCAGTTTGTTGCACCCTTAAGACTGTTCTTGTGTGTTAGGTGATAATGAAAGGGGACAGAGAGAGAAACTACCTGGAAATGCACCTGCATGTTTTTGCAAGTGATTTCTTTCAGTGTGAAATGTATAATTTAAGTGTATTGTAAAAGCAGGATGGAAGGAAGCATTCCAGTCACATTTGATTTTACAAGTACTGGATATGCATAAATCAATTTAAATGTTTGTATGAAAAAAGCCTAAAGTATACTTCCCGTTGCTCGGTCCCTGCTCCTGCCAACCTAGCAGTTCGAAAGCACATCAAGTGCAATTAGATAAATAGGTACCGCTCCGGCGGGAAGGTAAACGGCGTTTCCATGCGCTTCTCTGGTTCGCCAGAAGCAGCTTAGTCATGCTGGTCACATGACCCAGAAGCTGTACGCTGGCTCCCTCGGCCAATAAAACGAGATGAGAGCCGCAACCCCAGAGTCAGTCACGACTGGACCTAATGGTCAGGGGTCCCTTTACCTTTTATACTTCAAATAGTGTTTTGCTAATTAGCAGAAGTTTTTCTTTTTTAAAAAAAGACATGATATTGCTAGATTCAACCCACAGTCCTTATCTTATCCACATATACTGAGTTCATAGAGGCTGTGAAGCTGGCCACAACCACAGTCAGAACCCAAGTGAAGTCTTGATGGACATCTCCGTGGAAAGGATACCAGCCTAAGCTCACAATCAGAAAAAAGTTGTGCTACTTCCAGCAACTGGAAATCTGAACAGGAGTATAGATATGAATTAAGGAGGTGATATTTACCTTTGGGAGATTTTCACTGCATATTTTAAAAAATAATTTTTATTGAAGTTTTCCTTGGGGTTTTCACTGCATTTCTCAGTTGCTTACAATGTCTTTCCTCCTGTATATTCTGCCTATCATAATGATGGGCATATTGAAGGTTTAAAAATATTGGAGTTAATGTTTCTAATTTCCCATTTATGTTAATGCCTTTTTAACTATCATCCAGTTAAGGGAAGGGGGTCCCATAGTTTTCACCCCCTGAGGCTGAGCTGTTTTGTTCCCTTAACGACCTGCCCATTGCCTAGTCCTAGGCTATAACCTCAGGAAGAAGCTAGCCTGACTATTTCAGGAATTAGAAGTAGGGGGCAGATGTACAGCCTACCCCTCTCCCCATCACCAACTCATAACACTATGTTCCTGTCAGTTATGTGTTTGTCAGTCTTATTTTTCAGCATCACCCAGTTGTGGAGTAACTACATAGTCTGTGACTCCAATATCATATTTTTTCTTTGCTTCCTGGAGAATGTACAACATGCTGAGACACACTTACAGTGCAACCTTTGTTATTAACTCTTGTTATTAACTATTAAGCGAGCCTGGAAGTAGTTTGCTCTTTCACTTCCTTCTGTGCTTTATGGTTGGCACTCCTTGTTTTAAATTCCTGTTCCATGACTAAGTGCTTTGCAACCATTAGTTGCTAAAAGAAACCCTCTCCCCTTTTTCCGTTGGGATAAATATTCTCCCATCAGGTAACAGAAGTGTGACAAAGGTTCCTTGTTAAGTCAAAGCTAATTGTTTACATTGTCTTTCTTAATAAAGCTCAAACTAGATTTTTGAGCTATGAAGAAGGAAGAATCCTGGGCCAACAGGAATCTCCCCTCATGCTCAGAGTGCAGAGGCAAAGTCAAGTGTACCCCTTCTCCCCTTTTCGACATTTGAAGGGCTGTTCCTAACCTCTTTTATCATTGCAACAACCACTGAAGCAGACTGCTGACGTTCTCAATTTATTAATTAGGAGATGAGGCAGAATAGTGAAGAATTGCTTAAGGTTCTTCAGTTGGAGGCCATATATCAAACTGAAGTGGAACCCAGTTTTCTCTGCTGAGGCTACCTGTTTCAGCCAAATCAGTCTGGCTGGCATTTGTTTTGACCACCGTTGCCACCGTCTTCTCCCTGTCCCGGGCAGTGATGATGTGAAACTCTTTATTCTTTGCAGACTGCACATTGCCTTGCAGGACTTGGCAACTGCTGCTGGCCCAGAAACGTAAAGTGTCAAGTTATCAAATCTTTTCTTCTTTTGGTCTCTGTGGTAGAACTCTTATTTTCCCCTCAAAATGTTGCAGTTAACATAAAACGAAATGCCTTTTAAAGAACCGACATGTTGCCATGTCTCAAGTTGCTAGGCTCTTGGAGTGTTTGGAAATAAAACCGAAGCACGCAGTTCACTGGCTCACCACGAACACTTTAAGACCTCCGGTTAGCGCTGACATTTAGAAGCATGTGCTGAAGGCCGTGTCTTTAGCTTTGTTTTGTTGTAGTTTCAGCAAAGGAGTGGCAAGTAGTTTACATCCTTTCCAGTAATGAAGAGCCTGGGGCTCCCCCACCTATGATTCGCAGCCTGCCTGCTTCTGCTGTTGGTTCAGTCTGCACAAATGTGACTCCAAGGAAAGAAAGGTTTTGCATTAACTTGTTTCAAACAATCTTTCCTTTGTGCCTTTCCCCTCCCTGTTTCCTTGTCTTAGCATGTAAAATTTATTGAACATATTATTTATCAAAGCTAATCCATGCCCGATCATATCACTGAGAGGCTGTCTGGAGAATCTGTTAGATTCACCTTTTTCTGTCCTTTCCTTGTATTCTTGTCATAATAAATAATAAATTTATAAACCAGGAAAACACTTTAGCAGGAGGAGGTGAGTTCAAAGCCACCTTTTGGGGAAAGATTACCATGGGTGGGAGAATGCATGCTAACTGCCAGAGTTCAAGGTCATCTTCTCTACTTCGGAATATTTGACCAAGGCTTTTGTTGTGGAAGATGAAAATAGAAGTGGAAGGAGCATAATGTGGGAGACTCTTCAGAGAGTGCAGGAGACATTCAGAGAATGGAATTCAAAAATAGTCTGAATCTGGCCTTCACCTACATGGCATATTTTGAGTTGGAAATGAATATGTCTTTGTAATTAAAACAAATTTATGGTAATTTGCCTCATCTGCATATTTTTTTCAGTTACAGCATTTAAACTACAGTGGTACCTCAGGTTACATACGCTTCAGGTTACATACGCTTCAGGTTACAGACTCCGCTAACCCAGAAATAGTGCTTCAGGTTAAGAACTTTGCTTCAGGATGAGAACAGAAATTGTGCTCCGGCGGCGCGGCAGCAGCAGGAGGCCCCATTAGCTAAAGTGCTGTTTCAGATTAAAAACAGTTTCAGGTTAAGTACGGACCTCCAGAATGAATTAAGTACTTAACCTGAGGTACCACTGTATCTGCTCACATGACTGAGGCCAGGTTGGTGTAGAATTCTAAGCCACCACATAACTCACATGGAATTATGCATCTAAAGTTGCAATCCTGGGCATATTTACATGGGAATAAACCCCACTGAACTTAATGAAACTGATTTATGAGTTTGTATTTATAGGATTGCAATGCTGATAGCTTTTCTTCATAGTGCTCCATGGCTTGAATCCTGTTTTTCAAGTTAAAGCATGCCACATTCTGACATTCTTACAACCCCTTTCCCCAATAGTGGGTTTTCCTCTTAATTCATTGCCCAGTGTTCAAAAGTACTGATGTGTCGCTATTTGTGTAATGTGCTATTTATGAATATGCAAGACTTAATTTTCCTTTTCAGCAATATATATAGATGATGTCTATCTAAATTTAATTTGCACACAAAAGGTGTAAATGCTATGGTTCAGAGATGGGGAATCGGTGACCTTTCAGATGCTATTGGACTACAACTCCCATAATTCCTGACATTTAACTAAGTTAGAATCATAGAATAGAATCATAGAGTTGGAAGAGACCACAAGGGCCATCGAGTCCAACCCCCTGCCAAGCAGGAAACAAGTTCTTTTCTGCTAGGTCTTTAACCTAGTAATATCTTAGACTATTTAATAAATAAAATATTTCATTTCAAGGACTGCAATCCTATTCATGTCTATTAAGAAAACCCATTGAGTTCAGCTGACTTGGAATGAAGGAAGCTGGAGTCCAATGACATCTAGAGGGGCACAGGTTAGCTACTCATAATCTAGAGGAAGGATTTTAATTATTGCGGCTTTCTCCCTTTCTTAATATCAACCAATTACAGTATATAGGAATACAAGCAGCTGTTAAACCAAGGAAATGATGTGTCTGTCTTTGGAATTTTTCATATGGTCAGATGCAAAAAAATAAAAATAAACCTAGGAATAATTTTGTTTCTTAAAACTGAATAGCAAAATTCTTTCTGATATGAAGCTTGCTTGCTTTGAGTCAGTACTGTGGGTTTAAAACGAAGAAAGAGAATAAATAACTAGCACCTTTGCTTTTCTACCTACATTATGATTTGTTTTCATTTTGTGTAGTTTCCTCTTGCATTACCACTTATAAGAAGACACCACCTCCTGTTCCACCAAGAACCTCCACCAAACCTTTTATCTCCATCACAGCCCAGAGCAGCACGGAATCTGCTCAAGACGCCTACATGGACGGACATGGGCAAAGGGGAGATATTATCAGTCAGTCGGGACTTAGCAACTCTACAGAAAGCTTGGACAGTATGAAGGCACTGACAGCTGCTATTGAAGCAGCTAACGCACAGATCCATGGCCCTGCCAGCCAGCATATGGGCAACAACACTACTACTGTCACCACCACCACCACTGTTGCCACTGTTACTGCAGATGACAGAAAGAGAGATCATTTCAAGAAAAACAGATGTCTATCCATTGGAATACAGGTACAGATATAATGCTGCAGAGGCTTGCACCGTAACTGGTAGTGTCGTTATTTGCTCTCCTTTGATAATCCTTTTCTATTTCTGCTGTATTTTACATAACCCAAATAACTGCACCTGACATTACAAACCTTCAGGTTTGATTAACTAAACTTTAAGCATATAAGATGTAGGGATGTAGTTCTGGGGGTATATATATATATTCTGCTTATTTGAATTAGCACACAGAAGCCTAAAGCTCTGATTCATAACCCAGCAGGAGTCAGGAAAGCATGAATGAAATGAATGAAATCACTGAAAGAGAATGTGTAAAACAATGATTTACACTGCACTATCACCAGAGAAATGTTTTCAGCCAGTTTAGCTGAATTGTCACTGCTTATTCATGCATCACATAACAACTGTTACTCACTTGAATGCAGCAGCATTGTTCCATTTAGCTGTTAAATCAGCAGGGGAGGTCACAAGGATAGGATCTGTCTGATTCACCCTTGTTTAAAATAAATTAAACTTTCATCTGATCAGGGTCCCTTCCAACGCTTCAGTTCTATGATTCTGTGTAATGTGCAGGGACTAGCATTCTCTCCAAAGTGGCCAGTAGTAATGTCAGATACCCCAGTTTTCACCTGGGGATGCTTTCATATATGGGACTCTTCCCCTGCATAGTACGGTTGTAGCATTTTATTCATTCATTCATTCTCCCCCTCCCTGCCTCCAATTTCGCATCCAAAGTAACCTTGTATTAGAAATTAGGCTGGGAGAAAGGGAGGGAGGGCCTATCCATGCTTACATTTCCTCTGGTTTGTGATTTAAAGCTCCACGCCCAAGCACCCTTTTCTTTTTTCCTTTTTTGCTCCAGAGCTTTTCCCATGAAAACTCACTCTGTAAAGCTCAGCAGAGCAAATGTCAGTCCACGGAAAACCCGAATTGACGTTTGCTCCAATTCAAAAGAGCAAGTTTTCACGTGAAAAGCTCCGGAGCAAAAACAAACCAAGAAATAAAAACCTGGAAAGATCAGAGCAAAGGAATAAGTGTGGATAAGCTCAGAACCAAAGTCAATCAGTGAGTTTCATGGCTCAGTGAGAACTTGAATCTGGTCTCTCCAGTTCTAGTCTGGGACTCTAAGCATACTGGTACAGTGTGGTTAGGGTTCTAGCTACATTGAAGAAGAATTCATGCTTCCTTGGAGAAGCAACAGTTTAGTGAGCACAGTAACCACAGGACTGAACAAAGTGGGTGCTGAATGGTGCCCAGTTGTAAGGATGTGTGTTCACTGTACCACAACAAGGGTGATCTTGTTTAAAAAGAGAGGATTGGATAGATGGAACATTAAAGGGACAGATGGTTGGGGTAGTGAACTGTCCACAGGCATCACAGCACAATTTTACCACTGAAGAGTGGTAGGGAGGTCACAGGGGTCAGAATTCACAGCTGGATGACTGAGGGAACTGTCAGCAGATGACTCATGGGGAAAGGTGAATATGTGTCTCAGGAAATGTAAGTTTAGACTTAATCCAATCACCAGTAGAAAGGGACTTGTTGGAAGATGTTTTTTAAACTAATAATTCTCATGTTAACTAATAACCAAATAAGGGTGTCAACTTGCATTAGATGTGGTAAATAAACCCATAATTCCAGGCCATTTGCAGAGTTCCAGTTAAGCCAAGCTTTACAGTAGCACACAAGTGACAACACTGGAAATAAGGAAGTAGAAAAAACCCCTCTATTGCCATAAAAATAGCACAGCACCAGCCCTCCTTTCATTAAAAGCAGTCAGTTCCCAAAAGCTTGTTGGATAAGAAAGTCTTCACCTGCCTGCAGAAGGACAACAAGGAGGGAGCCAGCCTTATTTCTCTAGAGAAAGCAGCCACTGAGAAGGCCCTCCCAGACTTTGGAAGCAGCAGAGTGAAGGAAATAAGTTTTCAGAAAGGTACTGAGCAGTGTAATGCTTGGCCACTGTTTTAAGGATCCTGCTAAAAGTTCTGTACAGACTCTGAGCAAATTTCGTCAAGAGACAGATCAGTAATGGGTCTGGGTTGTAGGGGTCTTTGGGCAAGGCACCCTGAGCTCAGTGAGTTTACCTCAGGCATAGGCAAACTCCAGCCCTCCATATGTTTTGAGACTACAATTCCCGTCATCCCTGACCACTGGTCCTGTTAGCTAGAGATGATGGGAATTGTAGTTCCAAAACATCTGAACGGCCAGAGTTTGCCTATGCCTGGTTTACCTCATCCCTGCCAATATTGACAGCTACTGCTGCTCCACCTCCTCCTCTTCTGCCACATCATTTCTGTCACATGCTTGCCTGCCAGAGCAAATGAGCACTTCAACAAACAATACACAGGGTAGTGATATACTAGCAAAATGCAAAGTGTGACAGAGCAAATGATCAAGCAGGCAGTATCAGCTACTCCTCTTTTTCGTCACTGCTGTTATTTGCTTCTTTATTTCCTCTTGGTCAGAGCAAGAAGCAGGTGAATGCACAGGTTGCAAAGGTGAAGCAGAGGGGCAGCAGTTCCAGTGAGCTCTTGTCAGTAGGGCCCTGCTGTGGTGTCACCAACCATACTGCCTCTTGACACAGATAAGGATAATGAATGAAGATGCTATTGGGTCTTCTGGAGGTGCTATTGGAGCATGACAAGGAGGGCCACTCCAAAGTTTTCATAGATTTCAGCTAATCTGATGCAGAGATTATTAAAAGGAATTGTAACGATGCTTTGAGGAAAAAGTGCTGAAACACATTAAAGCCCTTGAATAATAATATGCACATGCCATTAATTCTGCTTGCATTTGGTTATTCTATTAGGTTGATGGAGAGGAATCTTCTAGCTCAAGCGAAAACAGAGCAACCAGTAAGTTCCAATCCATAGGTGTTCAAGTAGAGGAGGAGAAGTGGTAAGCAAAATATTAATTTAATATTTTACAGTCGACTGTCTTTTCAGTAATACTGATGGTGTGGGAAGCAATTTAATGTTGGTGTTAAATTACACAAACACACTAAACACACTCACCATTTCATAAGATGGTGAGTTTCTGATGGACATTCTTTAATATGTACATCCTTGGCAAAAGCAAGTAGTGACATGATCCTATGGTAAAATAAACAAAGACACAACAAACATAATGAAAGCCCACTATAGCCCTTCCCAAATGAAATCTATACCATATTTTCCTATGTATAAGATGAGGATTTTTAAATAAATATATTTATTAAAAATTGGGGGTCGTCTTATACACAGATAGTGCAGAGGGGAGATGTTTGATTGGTGGCAGCCACGAGCAGGAGATTGTAATCAGCGATTGGCCGGGTGGTTGGTGGCCTGCTGGCAATTGGCTGCTGCTGCGGCAAGTGGACAGGCAATTGGCAGTTGTTGGCAGTGAGTGGGCAGATGATTGGTGGCTTTGTTGAGGTGATTGGCAGTGGTGGTCAGGCACGTAAACAATTGCTGGCAAACCCATCCCCCATAAAGCTCAACAACTCTGGGCAATCCCCCCCAAAGCTCCCCCCATTTCCTAAATTCAGAGTCCCCAAAAATAGGGGTTGTCTTATACACAGGGGCGTGTTATGCATGGAAAAATACGGTACACACACACATATCAGTTAGCAGTATGATATGGGTTATGTCACCCCTTCTTTTTGTCTTAGAGCGGAAAAGGGCAAATAAGGTTGTGCAGCGTGCAACATTATAGGGTGTTGAGAAAGTGGAAGTGGATAGAGAGAATCTTTTCTCGCTCTCCCATAATGTTAGAAACTTATTCAAGGAAACTAAAGGGTAGGAGATTACAAACAGTGCAAATAAAGTACTTCATCACAAATGGCATAGCCAAGCTATAGAATTTGCTGCTACAAGATGTGGAGATGACTACTACCTGTTAGAAGAGCTCCTGACACTAACTTGGGTGGCTTTAATGGGGGATTAGATATATTCTTGTATGAAAATGCTATCAGTGGACACTAGTCATGGTATCTGTATGTTTCCTCTAGGATCAGAGGCAAGTATGCCTTGGAAACTAGTGTCTGTGGGGCATGACAGCAGGAAAGAGCTCATGTACTCATGCCTTGCTTGTGGGCTTCCCATAGGCATTTGGTTCTCCGCTGTGGGAAACAGGAAGCAGGACAAGACAGGCCTTTGCTCTGACCCAGCAGGCCTGTTCTTGTGTTCTTTGTATTGCTATTTATAACGTTTTAAGTAATGAATTCAAGAAGCGAGAGTTGCCTTTTGGGCCCTTTAAAATGATTTGTTTTTGTACAGTCTCTTTAAAGAGTTGTGATTTTAGATAGTGGTGATAAATGGGGGATTTAGTGCTATAATTAAGCACAGAGACAAATTGTAACCAGCCATGTACTTCCATAAGGGAACTACTGATTGATGAGAGACTGAAGCTGACTTGTCAGAAGATGAGCTCCTCTAGTACACAGAGAGCTTATCATTGCCACTTAGGTGTCTCATGCATTTTGTTAGCACAGCAGAATGAATTTAAATCACTGTCGCTTAAAATAATAGACTTGTAAATGGAATGTATTTTCCTTGCCTCAAATCTAACATCTGCAGGCAGACACAGTGCAAGGCCACTTTGGGTGCATATTTAATAAAGGAAATATGTTAGAAACCCTCACTGTTTCAATACAGTCATATATTGATCAGGTAGCTTGTCATTATGCACAAAGTTGCCAACAGGGACTTGTTTTGAGCCAGCATTTAGCTCCAGAATTTGCTTTAAGTGTTGGGCATGTGCAGAATTCATGTGCACCTCCTGCCCCAGTAATGACAACCAGACTCCATCAATATGGGTCCATAGAGAATGGCTTTCAGGTTGCCTTTGGTTCAAACACAACCGTGTTTAGAAAATCACTATGTAAATCACCAAACAGAAGCAAGGGAGGAAACAGGTTACTATAACCAAGGCATTTGCGGTCTAACTTTAGGGTTCAGGTAGGTAGCCGTGTTGGTCTTATTTTAACTTCAGGGTAACAATGTTTGAAAATGAACAGATGCAATAATTTCACAGGCTTTGCCATTTTTAGCTTTCTACTTGGTCCTCCCCTACGGGCTGTCTTTTCACATCTTCTTCTTAGCCTCTGTTCTTCTTTTGAGTAATTTCAGCAACATGGTGTATGTTCGTTCTGTGGTTTGTACATTTCCCCTTTCGCTTTTAAGGTACTTTAAGTGTAAGTGTAATGCCCATGCAGTGGAACACTGCATCAACCCACATGCACCATCACACCTACCGTATGTATGACGGGATACTGTTTACTGTAGATACGACTGAGCACTGAAGTGCTTAAATAGAAATGTGGGAGGTTCCCAGTGCCAGTCCAATATATTTTGGCACCTGAGATGGACTCCAAAATTGCATCCTCCTTCCTGCCAGGGAAGAAGAGTTGAGGGAAGATTTACATTGGGGAAAGAAAGATAAACATCAGGATCTGCTGCCCTGGTGGACCCTGATGCCTGAGGCAGTCTCTTCAGCTTGCCTCATGTGTGGGCCAGGCCTGGAGGTTCCTGTGTTACCAATCTTCAGCCTGGAAATGAAAGTATTTTAGATGCTACAGGCTAGCTAACATCTGGCTGCCTAAAAACTGATTCCTAAGTCTATATTTTGAAGATGGTGTGGAGGTGATATCATCATGAGTTGATTCCACCCTTCCACCTTAATTTTCATATATTACAGATGAAAAACAAGTTTTTCTTAGCTCATTTTGACTTTCCCTCCCCCAAAGTAGTACATAAGAACATAGGAAGAGCCTTCTGGATCATGGCAATGACCCATCTAGGAGCTATACCAAAATTTCGTAGCTGGTGGTGGAGCCTGTTCGCCGTTAAATTTCGGCATAACCCCTATCTACCGTGCTCCGTCCTACTTAACATCGCTCACCGATATGCCTTCATTAGAGCTAGGTTCAATGTCTTTCCAACAAACGTGCTGAGACATAGATTCACTAAGGGCCAAGTCCCTTCAATGTGTGCTTGTGAAATGAAAACATCTGAATCTCTACATCATGTTATGTTTATCTGCCCTTTGTACAGTTCAGCCCGTGCTAGTATACTAAACCCCATAATCCAGCCTATGGCTGACAAACCAGTAGACCTACAGCTTGCCTGGGTACTTCAAGATGTGGATCCTTATATTACCCTACAGGTTGCTAAATTCCTAACAGCCGTCCTCTCGTACAAGAGACGGAATGGAATGTTAGCTGATTATTGATAGTCATAAGAATTTTCTATAATGACATCAGATATTGTTTTTAGTGTAGTGCCAAAAATTTTTAATCTTAATCTTAAACTTTTTTTATGAATGGCTAATATCCGTCCTTGTGAGTTATGAACTGTGTTATACTACTTGTGGTTTGTATGAGTCCGCTGTTTTATTTGATTTGTTTTGTTGTGTTGTGCTTCATGATGGGCGTAAAGCCGAATAAACATTTGTTGTTGTTGACCCATCTAATCCAGCATCCTGTTCTCACAGTGGCCCACTGGAGGCCGGTGAGAAGACTGTAAGTAGGACATGAGAGCAACAGCACTCTGTCCGCCTGGGATTCCCAGCAACTAGTATTCAGAGACATAGTAATATAACAGTCGTGAGTTTGCTCTAGACTTCCTTTGCCATGATACACAGCCTTTTGCTGAAGGCAAGAAGAAGAAAAGTAAGCCTTAAGAAGAATTGGTTAAGATGAGTATGGCAAGCTATATTGATGGTTAAAAAAAGAAAGAAATAATGGATTTCATTTATATTCTCCCATGCCTCCAGTGCTGGAGGTGTACATAGTTTTCTCCCTCACCACAATCCTGTGAGGTAGATTAAGCTGAGAGGTAATGGGTGACTCATGGTCATCCAGTTACCTTCATAGCTGAGTGGAGATTTGAACTGTGGAGGGGATTTCCAGATGATCTGTTTATTGAGCATTCATTCTGTTTCATTTGTGTGTAGAGGTTAGAGGGCATTTCACCAGATTTCCAGTGCATGAGCCCATCATTTTCCTTCTCACAAAAGCATCTGATCTTTTGAGGAAGCAGGTTGGTCGCACAAGACCATCCAATAAATTATAATGGTGACATCTCAATAAATTTTAACTGTGCACCCTGAATGTGATTGGAACCCACCTTAAAATAGCAACTGTCTGGAAGTTCCCTGAATCTTCCCAGACCTAGTCTAACACTATATAATCACTACATCACAGTTTAGGAAACATATATTTTCAAAAGGTAAGCAAAAATGTTGGTCATTGTATGATCACACACATGTGATCATATGGGACTCTATATTTCTTCTTCTCTTTTTTTCTTTTCTTTTCTTTTACTTTTAGTTTTCTTGCTGGCTCCTTGTTATGTTTTATTTATTTTTTAATTTAAAAATTAGATGGTTTGTTTGTTTGTTTGTTTAAAAAAACACCTTGCTTGGGACAAAAGAACATCTCTGATGAAAAATGTTGGTAGTCTTCCACTGAACAACACTTGCATGATTTCCTGCATATACTGATTCAATCATAAGAGTAAATCTGTCAAAATGTGACCTGTTACCTTCTTGCATATCACCTCTTTGTTGAAGCTTGTATGTCTGCAGTCTGAGTTCATTAGATGATAAATTATTTCTACCAGGTACAAGTTATCTGGATATAAATACCTTTTATCAAGTTGCAGTCTTTTTCCACTGCCATGTATTTCAGGAAAAGAAGAGCTATCTCAACACTTGAAAGTGTAAACAATTTAACAGTGTTTTACCAGATAAATACTATTTTTAAAAAGTCTGTGAAAGTGAGATAGTCATGACTAGCTGGTACTGTATTTTGAAAGGAGTTATTTACAGCATACCCCATATGTACTTTTGCACTGACAAATTTATCTATTTATTCCATTCATATCCTGCTTTCAGCTCTCCTGGGCATTCAAGACAGCTTGAGTTCCCAGTGACCCTCAGTGCTTCCATTTCAGTGGCACATACTTCCAACTGACTGTGCTTAGAATCACAGCATGGCACCCTGAACGAAGTGAACGATCTAGGCTGAACCCTAAACACAGTCCCAAAGGTTTCTAAGGTGCTTATGTGTGCTTAGCAGTCCAATTGTACAGTCTAGTCCTCAAAAGTAACTCTCAATGATTTGGTGGACGTACTAGTAGGTATGTTTATAGTATATTATTCCCTGTTTGTTAATAAACTGGGTCACAAAGCTGAGGACAGAAGAGGTAAACCTCCCCTCCTTGCATGCTCTGATCCGGATAAAAAAATCACATATACACATATCACATGAGCCCTTTATTTTTATTTTTAAAACACACACACCTGCTGGTGTTTTTAATTCTGCATTTAGCATCGCATCTAGTTTTGCCCTCAGCTCCATTAAATGAAAGAACTGTAGACATCTCAGCAGCTTGCAAATCTTTCACCAACTGAAGCTTCCCCAATAAAAAGTTTTGCATTACCTGTTTTGTTTCTCTCATTATCTGGTATCAATCCAGCAACAACCGTCTGTTCTAAGTAGTAATGAAGCAGGCTGATCCTACCCTCCAGTACAATTCCTACTTGCCATCTGTAAGATCAGTTCAGTTCAAATGTATTTGTTTCAGCTATAAGCCATAGCCAGTTTACATAAATTTGTACATAATTAAAATTTCAAGGTAACAAGATAAACAGTGTATAATTAATACAATCAAAACCATCTGCAAGTTGTTCAGCACCTGTTGTGCAAAGGAAAATCTCCTTTGACTAAAAATGTAAACAAGGTTCTCAAAAGGGATACAAAAGGAGAGGCAGAGAACTGAATACATGCAAATAAACCAGCGGCTGCTGTTCAGAACAGACGCTGTATTGTGTTGTGTACTGGTTCAGCCAGTCTACGGTTTCATGGTTTTGTGCACCTTAGGCCAGGTAACTGTCATAGTTCTCTGAGGGTGTAATTATTACACCTTGTGCCTGCAGGGCACAAATGAACACAAAGCGACTGAGGTTTAACGCACGTAAGCAAGGAAACTGAGGGACCTTCCCCCAAGAACTATTTATGTGCTGTTTATGCCATGGCTAGCTCCAGCTTTCAGGGGGTCTGGCTGACCTCCTCTACCCATCCCTGCTGCTGGGCGCATACCCCCTCTCCCCTTCCCCTCCTCCTTGCTCAGCACCTGACTTCTCCCCCTTCCTCTTAAAGGTATCGGAAGGCTGGACTGTGATAGGCTTATTGGGCAGCCCGGCAGTGGGGTGGGATGCGATGGGGAACGTGGCAGCAACAAATCCCAGAAAAGCCAAGTGCTGGGCTGCTGTTGCTTTCTACATTAAGCAGCCACTTGAATTCCCTCACCATTGGCCTCAGCATAGGATTGCTCAGGAACAATTCTAGATCAGGGAGCAAGTCATTGTGGAGCAATTCAAATAGCAGCTTCTTGTAAGTAACAGCAGCTGTCTGATTCTTATTCAGCCGCTCAACTGTCTTATTCTTTAGCCATAAAATGGCAATAACAGTGTAGGATGGCCATCTTAGAAGTGGCTGGAGGACTGCTGCTTTCTTGGAGTATAAATTAACGAGCAAAGGAACTCTGAACGTTATGGTTGCCAAGGCAGTGCATCTGAAGACATTGTCATTGAACTCCCATTCCTTTGAACTATTTAGCTGTAATGATGTTTCATTAATCTCCACTGTGGATCCCTGCTTCTTTTGAAGGCATATATGTTTACACAGGCCAGTGCCAAGAGTAGTCCACCCAGCAAGGTTGCACCACAGAGCTGTCTAAATAAACATAAAGGAACAAAAAAAACTAGGTCACTCATTATTATGTGCTGAACAGAAACTTCTTTGATAATACTAATTTAGCCTTAGAACAGAGTGAGAGGGTGTATCCCTAAACTTTAAAATGCAGAGCCTTTGGCCCTGTATCATCCCCTCCTTAAAGCAGAGCTTTAGAGTTTCACAACTGAGTTGTTGTGTTTGGTGAAAAATCAGAATGCCCAGTTCTGCAATGTACATGCATGTATGCCAAGAAAGCAGCCCCCAAGACCTCGTTCCTATGTTGTTTTTCAAACACAATTATTAACCTCTGTAAGAATAGGTGCTGTGAGAAAGAACCCCTGAGTGGCTTACTCAGAAACTATGTGTTTGAACTTGTCAAACAGAAAGAGACTGTGAGATATACAACCGGGGGGAGGGGGCACAAAGAGAGTTCATTTTACGTGAGAGGCATTGCATGCACACCAATTCTTTTAAGACTGCTGTTATTAAAGAAACATAATTGTTCACGGAGTTTTCATGCCACCTATGGATCCTGGGGAGGAGGAAGGAGTGCAGTGTTAGCAGCACACCACAAATACAAGCTACACGAAACAAAGAGAAGCCTCCTACGCCAAACCTGCAGCATGTCTGTGCAAATGGAAGTTACATAATCTATTTTTGCACTACTTGACACTGTGCTTCAAAGCATGCAGCAGCATGATAAAGGCTTCAGTCTATGCTATTGAGCAAGGGGGCGCTGAGTTTGGGTATGTCAGATACATTTATTCTGCTGAAAACAGCTTTGCTGCCAGAGATTTCCCTTGCCTTGTACAATACTGATCAGTAACTCCTTCCTTCCTACCACCATGGCTCATTGCTCCATGTTTACAACAGCTCTAAAGATCCACATTCCTGGCCCCTGCTCTTTTGCCCTGTGAGATTAGCGTTTGAAGTCTGCCAATACTGCTTTTCATCAGCAGGATGAGTCATGCCTCAAAGGAGGCAAGGCTTTCTTTTGGGCCTGCTGCCACTTATCATTGTACTGTTTCTCTAGAACTAAACAGCCAGGTTATCTATACCTTATCAGCACTGCCTCTTTGTCCCACCTAGGCCAGCCTGGAATTTCTCCATAGAGCTAAAACAAGTTGAGAAGGAAGGAGCATTCTGTACTTCCATGTCACACTTCTCCTGTTCCAGGTGAAAATGGCCTGTTCCAGGAAAACTTACCCTTGTTTTACACTGCAACTTTCTTCCCCTTCTGAATATGTGATTTAAATAAGGGCAAAGGGATGAAAACATTCTATCTACTATTGCACTTCACTGAAATAAGAGCTATTTCGGCCTTTGGTTAACTTCAGTATTCAAATGAAAAATGAAAATGAGCAGAGGTGCTAGTGTTTCTTCTGTGCCCAGAACCAAACAAATCACAGCAAACAGAGAATGTTCTGTGTAAGATGCCACACACACAAATCTAACACTTGGGCTGTCAGTAAAGTCAGAATACTTTATTTATTTTTAGAACTTATACCCTGCCCTTCATCCTAGGACCTCAGGGTAGGTTACAACAATAAATATATAAAAACCATAGACAGTAAAGCAATAAAAACTATCAATGGTAATAAAATGAAAGCAATTTGTCAACACCTGGGATTTAGGCAGCCCCCCCCCAGCATCAAAATGCCTGTTGAAAAAGGTGGGGCTTCAGCTGGCACCTATAGCGGAACAGTGTTGGAGCCATGGGAAGCCTTCAGCAACCTGATGCCCGCCAGCTAGGGCTGATGGGAGTTGGTAGTCTCAAGAGATCTGGAAGGCACCAGGCTGGAGAATACTACTCTGGGGGGAAGTGTATCCATAGACAGGGAGCTATTGACTGAGGAGGCCTTCTGCACAGTGGGGTGGTGTGTGTAATCTTCACAGCTGTCAAGTTACACTAACAATGGCAGAGCATTCATGTGGGGAAGCAGGTCAGTACTCCAATTCTTGGCCTACTTCAGGAGAAACCAAACAGAGAGCTAAAGTGTGGAGGAAGGTAGAAGATCCATGTTTTATCCTGGCAAAAGGTGTTTAAACCCTGATAAAATCCCACACACACAAGCTGCTAAGAGGAGTATCATCTGATATGCTGGGATGTCCAGGAGGAACATCAATGTGACCAGACTCAAACTTACGGTACTTCCACACGGGAGTTTATTGCGGGCTCAGTGCTGCTCATGAATGCAGGACTTTTGCTGTGTTGACACATCATGTTCATTAAAACACTATCCCATATCTTTGTTCCCTGTTTAATCCAGATTTGCCATTTCCGTGAAAAATCCAACATGTACAAATAAAAAACTAACACGGGAATGATAGATGCAACATAAATGGGGAGCAAAGATGTGAGATGGCATTTTGATGAGCATGATATTGTGTAGGCACTGCAGAAAAGTTGCATGCATCAACAACACCAAGTCCACAATAAACTGCCATGTAGAAATGCCCTTAGTTACATGTACTGCCATTATTAACCAATGAAACAAATGTGCGGGATTATAAAAAGGAGCTATGTACCTGTCTGTTCAAAAACTTCCACAAAATTAAGTCAGCCTGCAAATCTGATGAGATATTGATTCAAAAAAGCAGTGCATTTCTTTGCTAAATCCGGCAAATCTATGTGTGAATATAAAGAATTTTAACATTGTTCTCTATTCTCACCTGTTTTATCTATGTTGTCTAAGGGCCAGATTCAACTAACTGATGGCATTAGTGGAAGACCTCAAAAAGTTTCTGCTAGCGCAGTAGGGCTTACCCCTCTCCCCCTTTTAGTCCCCAGTTGGCTGGGGGGGCATTGGGAGAGACCACCAAAACAGTGCACAGGGGGAGAAAGGGGGCAATTGTTTCATCAGGCAAGCAGAAATGCTTGCAGTGATGGAACGTTTGTAACAGCTCCATGTTGAATTTCTCCCACAGCTTTTTATATGGTGTTGTTCAGTTTCCGCAGGTTCACGAGGTCCAACAGTGTTACAGCAGCCGTTCAAGCAGACATGGATTTCCATGAGAACTTTGAAATGTCTATGGACCCTCAAGAAGATAGTTATCCTGGGCAAATATCAAGACAGTACTCTCGAGATGCCAGCACTTCCACTGTAAGCATACAGGGCTCTGGAAACCATTATCACGCGTGTGCAGTGGACGATGACTTTGATGGAGATTTTGATCCTTCCATTTTACCTCCTCCGGATCCCTGGATTGACTCTATAACGGAAGATCCAATTGAAGCTGTTCAAAGGTCAGTGTGTCACAGAGATGGACACTGGTTCTTGAAGCTTCTTCAAGCAGAGAGAGAGCGTATGGAAGGTTGGTGCCAACAGATGGAGAGAGAAGAACAAGAAAATCACCTGCCTGAAGAAAGTAAGTAGTTCAAATACCGATATACAAAGAGACATGTATTCTGCCATTTCCCCCCATTTAAGTCTATCATAGGGGTAAAGAACATGTGGCCCTCTAAGTTGTTGCTGGACTCCAGCTCCCACCAGCCCCAGTCAGCCAATGGCCAGGGATTATGAGAGTTATAGTTGGAAAACATCTGGAGGACAGAACATTCACATCCCTGGTCTAATGTTTTGAATGTCAAAACCTTTTAATTCCCAGATATTCCTTATGGCTGCTGAAAACAACTGGGCATCAGCTTCGTATATCTTCTGATTTGACATCTGTAACTAATAATGCAAATAATCTGAGGATTCATCTAGGTTGTTGCAGCACTCCAAGACTTGCAGTCTTGTCAAGAACACCATCTATAAATAGGAGAAAGTCCCCCTAAAATTATATTATGATGGTTATGAAATACAACATTGGGACTGGTTGCCTCTAAGTAGGTGGAAAATATAGAACAATGACTTCAAATACTGTGTGTGTGTGTGTGTGTGTGTGTGTGTGAAGACTTGTGAACATTTAAACCAGCCAGCAAATAAAAACCCAACACCTGTGCCATCACTGCTATGAATGCCCAGTTCTCAGTCACCTAATATGCATTGGCAGAGACACATGAAGAAGAGTTGCTCCAGTTGATGGTTAAAAATTTCTGTTCCATTCTATCCCGTATTTGGCATGCTAATGAAGTGGCAAATAACACCACAATGGCAGAAGTTCCAGTAGGGGCAGGCTCATACCCCAGAGAGCCACTGACAGTCAGTGTACATTAGCGATGATACCAATGTGGTACCCTCACAAGATGTTGCTGGTCGTCCTTGCTGACCAATAGCCATGCTAGCTGAAGCTCATGGGAGCTGGGATCCAACAGCATCTGCCAGGTACCTTGGCTACAACTGGCATAGACCATGGAGCTGGATAGACATTGAAGAGCTGCTTCCAAACAGTGTAGAGAATGCTGAGCTTGACAATAGTCTGAATTGGTATACAGTGGTACCTTGGTTCTCGAACTTAATCCATTCCAGGAGTCTGTTCAACTCTTGAAACAGTCCGAAAATCAAGTTGTGGCTTCTGATTGGCTGCAGGAGCTTCCTGCACTTAACCAGAAGCAGTGTCAGACATTTGGCTTCCGAAAAGCGTTTGCAAACCGGAACACTTCCAGGTTTGCGGCATTCGGGATCCGGTTTGTTCAACAACTAAGCCATTCAGGAACCAAGGTACCACTGTAATTATACACTGCCCCAGGTTCATATGAGAAGTGGTAGTCCTTGAGATACTCTAGCCCCAGGCCATACAGCTCACCATTTCAATTCCCTATCTGCTTATTATTATGGTAACCAATTCCTTTCTCAAGGAACCTGCAGGATTACAGTTGCTTGCCACAAGCACATCGTTTTGAAAGGACAGCTGTTTCTTAACCAAGAGAGCCAAATAAGAGTTTATGGTAAAGCCCAGCACTGACAGCTGAAATGTCTGTTGCTTTAAACTTTAGCAGCATGTGCAATTGTAGTCCAAATTTTGCTGAAGTTGTGGAGAGAGTTGTTAGTGGACCCACAAATGATTTTCACAGCTTCAGAATGTCTGCAGGTTTAACTGGTCAGATAATAAACTAATGAGAAAACTGCAGAGGCTGAAGTTTCCTCAACATCCTGGCAGCTGAGAGAACAGTTGCTCCCCCGCTCCTTAAAGTAAGATGATACAAGCGTTCCTCAGACAATGCTCCCTTGTACAGAACAGCTGTCTGGAGGAGAAGGCTCAGTCAGGGCTGCTTGACAGAGGCTTGTATGTTACATAGACACGTTTGGTATTATCTAACTGAGAACGACACTGTCAGATGGGACTGAATGTTTCTAGTTAGGAATGCAATTTGCTGCTGCGCATAAAAACAAGCTAGACTGTTAGTGGCTTCAGGCTGAGTCAGTAACAGCAGGAGATATTTCTTTAGCTAATTATGCACAAATTGTATTATATTAAAATTTGCTGGTTTCCTCCAAATTCACTTATCTGTAACAGGAGCAGTAAGCAAATTAAAGCCAGGTCTTTCTGCACAAACAATTTGAGCGCAGATCATTCTGTTAAGATCAAAACTGCAACATCTGTTCATGAACACAAATCTACCGCCTGGGATTTGTGTGCATGCAACAGTGTGAACCTTTGCAAATGACTGAATTAAAAGAAGGGATCTGTTCTTGATACAAGGGCATGCACACAGAGTGACAGGAGCTGCACACACATTTAAAAGCCGAAATCATTCTAATCATCTGTTTGGTACAGAAGGGGGAGCAGGAGAGAAAGAGAGTTGAAAGTAGCATCCTGAGCAGCTGATCGTCAGGATTTCAGCTTTGTGTAAAGGTGTACACACAGCCATACTGTTGGACTGGAAAGGAGAACTTGACACTAGTATACTTCCAACATGGAAGCCTGCCTCTTTGCTTAAGTTGCCTGTAGGTGGGGCATTTTTTAATAGGTATACATTTTTCTTTCATCTCCTGCCCTACAAATGAATTAAGGATACCATCTAATTGGTACATTTCTGATTGCTCACCTGGTGTCCTCTAGCTAGAGAGATCACAGATTAGTTAGCTAGCTAGCATAAAAATTTGCTGCAACTTTGCTACCTACTTAGGAGTGGCGCTTTGTATACTTTTGTTTTTGCATGTCATATCTATTTAACATATTTATAGCAACTAATACATTAACTTTGTACTTAGTTCACACTTGTTGCCATTTAATTTTTTAACAGTAAAAGGTAAAGGTAAAGGTACCCCTGCCGGTACGGGCCAGTCTTGACAGACTCTAGGGTTGTGCGCTCATCTCACTCTAGAGGCCGGGAGCCAGCGCTGTCCACAGACACTTCCGGGTCACGTGGCCAGCGTGACAAAGCTGCTCTAGCAAGCCGGCACCAGAGCAGCACACGGAAACACCGTTTACCTTCCCGCTATAAAGCGGTACCTATTTATCTACTTGCACTTAAGGGTGCTTTCGAACTGCTAGGTGGGCAGGAGCTGGGACCGAGAGACGGGAGCTCACCCCGCCGCGGGGATTCGAACCGCCGACCATGCGATCGGCAAGTCCTAGGTGCTGAGGTTTTACCCACAGCGCCACCCGCGTCTGTGCACTAACAGTAGTAGTGCATTATATTTTTATACACCAGCTTTTATATGTTGATTAGTAATACTACTCTCTTCCTGCTTCTTTTGGTTTACCCTGATACCCTTTTTTGACCAAGCACAACCCAAGCTAATTAAGTCCTCTTAAATTACTTGAATCTTGCAAGATTTGCACCTTCCACTATGCACAGCAGCTTCCATTTCTCTCCCATGATTACTCTTAGCTCTTGCCTGTTGGGTGGTTCCTTAACACACAGCCCAATTAGGACTTTATTCCTGTCCCCTACTGGTGCAAAAGACTTTTTTTAAGAGAGGATGGAGAGATGGCCGAATCTGTGAGTAGCCATTTTAGTAATGGAGAGGAGAGGGAGATACGGCTGTGGGAGATGGCCAGGTGATTGCATGGGAAATAACTTCAACCATGTTCCAGTTGTTCTCTCTTCCAGACCATCCTTCAACGCACAGAGCCTAGGTTCTGTTTTCTTTGATGGGTGGAATGATAGTGATCTGGGCATGGAACATCTGTGATGGGACCTGATAGGGTTACAGACACCCAGATATGCTGAAAGGGTATAAGACAATTAAAATTGTATACCCCAGGAGAAAGATGGAGGTGTTTGGTTTCTTAATGGCCCTTGGGGGTTTGCCTGTTGTCTCAGCAGGCAATTCTGTTGAAGCTCTGCTTGATCTCTAGAATAGGGAAATGTCCCAGTCAATCTGACCAAGTGTAGGCTAGAATCCTTTTGCAGGCCTATTGCATGGATATGATGGTTGGTGAAGAAATGGCCCTTCCTGACCATCAGAGGCAACCAATGGTAAAAACTTGCTATATCTTAGCCTATGAGATGGTAATGAAGATGATTTGAAAGTTCATTGTGACAACTTCACTTTTAAAATGGCTCATAACCATGCCAACTTAGATGGCTGCTGGGTAGGAGGCCGGACTGACCTAAGTGGTTATGGGTGAGACCTCTGCTGTTATTGTTGCAGTTTTTAAATTCTCCCTTAAACCCCACCATATTGGAGAATTATCAGTGTCCACCATGAGCCACACTGCTTGAGGATGTAGTGGCATTTCAAGTTCTAGTTGTTCCTGGATGAGACAGATTATTTTGGTCCATTTCAGTGTGGTTTAAGACCTGGTTATGCAATGAAAACTGCTGTGGTTCACTTGGAGTATGATCTACACTGGGAACAGAAAGAGAAGCACATCCCTCAAAAGAGATGGGGGGAGGAGCTATAGCTCAGTGATAAATCACATATTTTGCATGGCAAAAGCCCCAAATTCATTCCATGGCATCTCCAGGTAAGGCAGGGAAAGACTCCTGTCTGAAATCATGAAGAACTACTCTCTGTAAGGCAATTTAAACCAAGGATTTCTAAATGGCTCCCTGGGCTTCATTTGGAGGAAGAGTGGGATATAGCCTGGATGGATGGATAAATAAAGCAGTACGTTTGTAGTAGGATTGCCAATAATTTCTGACTCCCAGTTGTTTAACAACAGCAACAAGTACGGTTGTTTGGGGTGGGTTTGTTTGTTTTTCCAAATCGAGCTGCTGAAGTGGGTGACCAGGAACTGATTGTGTGTGTGTGATGACTGCAAGCAGAACAGTTCTGGTACTGGGTGCAGCGTGCACTCAATGGTACCTTGTGCCTTTTATCTAAGTGTAAATCCACCCTTTTTTCTACTTTGCATTTGACTTCAGCTGGTAGACCTCAGGGTTCCAGGGGAAAGCACAGTAGATCCCTCAAGCTTGAAGATCAGCCACTCCAAGTTTAGACAGCACTCATCCAGTTGGGCCAATGGTCTAACTCTGTAATAAGGCAGCTTCCTCTGTAAAGAAGAGCCTCAGCATTCATCTCAAAATCAGCTGGGATGTTGTCATAAACCAGTCACTGATCAAGGCATTCTTTCTCTTCTCCTGCTCTCTCTATGGTTTTGGAATAGATTATTCTAATCAAGATTATTCAGTTATTGTTCAGTCAAGTATAACCAACGCTGCACCACCAAACAATGCATTCTCAAGCAACTTGTCTGACCGGTATGAACACCAGAGCAATTTTTGTTTTATGCAAAAACTCTCTCCCGAGGCAAAGTTGAGAGACAGCCTCCGTCCAGTTCCCCGTTATCCTGCCTTTCAGTCCTTGAGATGCCTTGTGGTGTCAGATGGCCCAGCTCCAGCTGAGGCAGCTGTTCTGAAGTAGAAGCAGTGGGAAGAGTTTTCATAAGAATGGGAACCACATGAAAGCTCTCAGAATAACTCCTCCCCACTATTGAAGGCTCTTTTCAGTTGAGTGGTTTGCGCATTAGGATGAATAAAGGACTAGACACACCAAGGGGTACATTTTCAGCACAGTGCACAGGGAATTAGACACGCAAGCCTTACAAACAATAATAGTAGTGTGTAGAATACCCTGAGTGGCACAGTGGATGTATTCCACTTAAATCTTGAAGTTCACAGTTGTCCAAAGTGAGGGAGCAAACTGAAAAGGTCAGTCTTTTCTTGCATGTTCCTGAGGAAGGACTGTAACAGAGCTCCCTACTCAAGCTTCACACATTTAATATTCAGTGTTTACTCAAATTGTCCCCCAGCAGCTGATCTTTGCTACACTGGGCTAAGAATGTGCTTTCGATTTATGCTTGCATATTTAGTCTGACTAAAAGGCTTACTGAAAGTACAGCCTAGCTTTGCTCTCTGTATTATGCTCTTTCTTGTTCTATTGCAAGGGAATACGAGAGTTTTCTATATTTGCAGCCCTGTGTCGTATTTCAGCTTAGAGACTTGGGGTTAGGCCACACTGGGTGTAGACCCAGAAAATGTGGGGTATATATTTTGGGGCAAAAGCAGCCCCTAAAATTTTGCCATCGTAAACAGCTGTAGCTGATGCAGTAAAGGGTTGTGCCCCAGGATCTCTCTTGATTTCACAGGGTGCCTTGAAGCCCATCTATTGAATTGTGTGCGGGGCTCCTGCTCCATGCTAGCAACTTAAATCCTAATACTTCTTCGCAAGATTGTTTTTGATGAACCTAATAAAAAGGGTTTTCATGCTATATACTGCTGCTCTTCAGGAAGTGGGTACAGTATATATAATGGATCAGCATAGCTGCTTGCATCTTTTGAACTCTGCTTGGATACACTGCTATGGATTTTCATTGGATAGGCGGCTACAGAGGCTGTCAGGATGAGCTCCTGAACTTCAAAGCGTATCAGTACACCACTGGGTTTGAAAGAAATCACAAAGATATCTGTACTTAGGGCTGAGAGGCCTATGCAAGTATTCTAGGTGAACCCTTGAGGCAGTGTATTTTGGGGATGTTCCACCACACCTTTGGTAAGAGGTAGATTGCAGTGGAAGAGAAAGAAGGCCCAGCAAAATTGCTGCAGATGCTGGGATGGAGTTAGAGGATTGCACTCTTAGGTTTAGCATAGCAGCAATACTATGCACAGTTAGCAGAGAATAAGCTCCATTTAATTTAGTGGTGCTGCCTTCTAAGTTCGACTTGTAAGAGACATCAAGCTTTAACAAAAGATACTCAGCCAGCTGAAATGCAAACTTTAGGTTATAATTAAAAATTAAAAACAATCTTGCGAAGAAGTATTAGGATTTAAGATGCTAGCATGGAGCAGGAGCCCCATCAGCTCTCCTGGTTCTCCAGAAGGTGATGCCATTGATTCTGTGCTGAGAAAAGTCCCAGAGCTGCATTTCCCCATGTTCCACCCCTACTAAACCAGCGCTTAAATGTGGGGGTGTGACCAGCTTTTTCTCATGTTCTCTTTCTTTTCAAGTTCTAGGTAAAATTCAAGCAGCAGTTGGCAGTGCACAGCTTCTCATGGCTCAGAAATTTTATCAGTTCAGAGAACTGTGTGAAGAAAATCTGGTATGTAACATGTATTACGGGCACCCATTTCACCACCTTAACTAGATCCAGACATTGACACTATGTACAAAGAGATGTAAGGGTTCCCTACAGCTTGTTATGTGTAATTTGATCAGAGCGCATGGCTTCCTTGTTGTTATCATTGGCTTTTTAACTTACACAGTGTTCTGCAGCCATGCTTTTCTTTGCTACCATGAAACCTAGGGATGCGCTTTAATAACAACAGCACGGGATTTTCCTTCCATAAAATTTGCCACTTTACACCCTCAAGAGTTTTCTTAAGTGGCGTTAAGAACACCTTTTACTCTGTGTTCCCAAGTGACATTAGTTGTGTCTCACAGCATTTCTGTGAGCAGTTGACAATATACGTGATGCAACATACCATGCAACAGAAATTCATTTGATTGAGGGCATGGCTAAAAGATAAATCTACATTTAAAGCCTGATGGTACCGTTCGGGCTGCAGATGAATTGCAGCAGTACATAAAGTGACTGAATTGTGTCAGGAGTTAGGGGAACACTGCTATGTGAATGTAAAATCCAAGCCCCTTGATAGAATGGTGATAGTTGGTTAGCCTTTTTGGCTTTGAACTCTAGTGAAAATAGAATTATTATTTCTTTTTTTGAATAATCCTACTCAGCCAGCACACAAATAAAAAGGAACAAAGCAGGTCTACTTAAGGCAAGCCATAGCCATTTTCTCCCCCATCATGGTGCCTGAGACCAGGCGCCATGGTTCTCTACCTAGTCTCCATTGCCACCAGAACATTCTTCCCTAAGCAAGACTCTCTCAGCATCACTGCTGCCATTTTTAGCCAATTAAACACAATTCATGACTATCTAAAGTGATATGATGATGCTTTAAATGTATAGTGCAGATAGAGCCTTTTATGACAAACTTAACAGATGGTTATAATATTGGCAAGTGGAGACACAGACACAATTAACAATATATTATAAATAAATACAAAACCGTTGCCGAATCACAGCAGTAGAACAATAAAACACCAACATGGGAGCATGTACAAAAATCACATTAGTGAAAAGTCAAATGAAGTATGGGGGTTTTATAAGTCTTTTTGAACACTACAACTGAATGGGCCAACAGTACATCCCTTGGGAGGATATTGCAGGGACAACTGATGAGAAGGCCCCGTCCCTAGTACCTGGCAGTCAAATTGATCTTAAAGATGGACCAAATGAGCAGGGCCTATGATGCTGATCTGAAAGTACAGACAGGTTTGTTTCGGGTGCAGGTACTACCTTTAATGGTAAAAAACAGCTTTTTATAAACATGCTTGTAAGTAGCACAATTAGTAGAGATTTGGTGTAATATGATTTAACCAACTGGCCCCAAATAGCACAGAAGCAGCCACATTCTGTGACAGCTGAAGTTTCTGGGTCATTTTAAAAAGGAGCTAGTGATGCGTGACTGAGGCTAGGGCAATAGAAATATATTTTTAAAATTAAAAAAAAATTGTCCAGTAGCACCTTAGAGAGCAACTAAGTTTGTTCTTGGTATGAGGCTAGGGCAAAAATACAGAAACATTACATATACAGTCATACCTTGGTTTTTGAACAGCTTAGTTCTTGAACATTTTGGTTCCCAAACGCTGCAAACCCAGAAGTGACTGTTCCAGTTTGTGAACTATTTTTGGAAACTGAACATCCAACGGAGCTTCCACGGCTTCCGATTGGCTGCAGGAACTTCAAAATCAGAAGCTGCACTTTGGTTTCCGAACATTTTGGAAGTCATGGACTTCTGGAACAGATTCCGTTTGACTTCCAAGGTACGACTGTAGATTACAAAAACCCAGGTACTGTATTTTTCGCTCTATAAGACGCACTTTTTCCCCTCCAAAAATTAAGGGGAAATGTGTGTGCGTCCTATAGAGCGAATGCAGGCTGTGCGGCTAAGCCCAAAGCCAGAACAGGGAGACGGAGCACTGCGGAGCACTCCGTCTCGCTCTTCTAGCTTGGGGTTAGCTGCGCAAAGCCTCTGCAGGCCAGCAGGGTGCCTTCACCCCGCTGTCCTGCAGAGGCTAGAAAGGCTGTCCCTGAAGGCAGAAGAGGGAGAAGCCAAAAGGGCTGTCCCCTTTTGCTGAACCCGAAGCCCACCCACTGTTCCCTGAGCCGCTTGCCGGGGCTTTATGGGGAAACCCCTGGCTTCCCCCTTCTGCCCCAACACTGGCCGGGCTGGCTGGGGGAACCCCCAGCTTCCCCATAAAGCCCCGACAAGCTCAGCTGGGGCTGGCTGCTTGCCGGGGCTGTAATTCAAGCAAAGGGAGAGCTGCTTGCACGCGTGTAAACAGCTATTACTCTGCTAGATTTACAGTGTGCCAGAAGGATGGGGTAGTTTATACAACATTTGATTCAGAATATTTTTTACTTGTTTTTCTCCTCTAAAAACTAGGTGCGTCCTTTGCTCCGGTGCATCCTATAGAGCGAAAAATACGGTAACAATCAGCAAGCATATCCATCACACTGTTAGTGAAACAGTAAAGACAACTATAACTATTATAAATCAAACAATACCCTCCATTATAGAATTCACTTTGATGACAGAGTGACTCACAAGCCTTCTTTACTAAACTGCATCTAGGATAATTTGAAATCCTAACAAACTTTAAACACTGTGGCTGTCTCATTGAAATTTACAGTTTAGTTAGCATAATTAGCCAATCTCACTAAACCAGGTGAGTCAGATATAGCAGCTCAGAGTCATTAGTAAAGGTAAAGGTACCCCTGCCCGTACGGGCCAGTTTTGACAGACTCTAGGGTTGTGCGCCCATCTCACTCAAGAGGCCGGGGGCCAGCGCTGCCCAGAGACACTTCTGGGTCACGTGGCCAGCGTGACATCGCTGCTCTGGCGAGCCAGAGCCGCACACGGAAACGCCGTTTACCTTCCCGCTAGTAAGCGGTCCCTATTTATCTACTTGCACCCAGGAGTGCTTTCGAACTGCTAGGTTGGCAGGCGCTGGGACCAAACAATGGGAGCGCACCCCGCCGTGGGGATTCGAACCGCCGACCTTTCGATCGGCAAGCCCTAGGCAATGAGGCTTTTACCCACAGCGCCACCCGCGTCCCTCAGAGTCATTAGACAAATATAAAAAGTCATACACCAATGGACTCTTTCAAGTTTTTCCCCACCCCCCAAATTGAACAAAATATTTTCTTTCATGCTTTCTTTCTTCTTTTCTGTTGCACAGAATCCCAATGCTCATCCGAGACCAGCCTCCCAGGATTTAGCAGGGTTTTGGGATATGCTGCAGTTGTCCATAGAAAATATTAGTATGAAATTTGATGAACTTCATCAGTTAAAGGCCAATAATTGGAAACAGATGGATCCACATGACAAGAAGGTAGAACATTGTCGATTTTGTATGCTTCATTTAAAGCCCTGCACAAATACTGGACAGATTAAATAGGCCTCTGCATACGGCAGTGATGTTAAAAACATGAAATGGAGCTCATATCAGATTAATCTCATTGTAAAAGAAAAACAATGTTTACATAATAATCACCTGAGATATTTTCTGTAATATGTTTCAGGCATATTTTTAAGGCAAACTTGTTTCTGTGAATTGAATAACGGGAATGTGCTCATTTGTCTTATTATACTTAACGTATAATCATATTAGATAATCAATTGTTGGAAGGAACTGCCTCATATACTGATTCTTAAATTTTAAATAAATACTATGGACAGTACATAGTACTGCCTAGCCTAAGACTTCTGTTTACTAATGCACTCTGAAATGTGTCAGCAAGTAAACTAGGGAAGTTCTGTAATCACCGCTGGCTTTATAACCAGTTCCCATTCCCAGGGATAAATGTATGGGTATTCTCAAAGTGGACCATCATAAAAGTTACATGGTAAACCTCTCATGTCATTGATCTAGTTTGTTTACCTTGAGGGAGACCTCATAACTGGGTTCACCTTACCTACTTAATTCAACTCAATCTAGTTCCGAAACATTAAACAGAATGGTAAATGAAGGTTCTGCTGTGTTTCCTAGAATAAGTTGGGCTTTATTTTTTTACTGTGCTTTGGCACTTTGCTTTGTTTTTATTCGTTTGTTTTCAGTATTTGTGTCAGGAGCAGACATTGGTCAGAAATCTATTGTTGCCATGCACTGGAAGCACTTAAAAGCTGGGCATCGTCCCATCAAATTCACATTGGCATCAGTGAAAGAGGAACAGATTTAATTAGTTAATATGAAATAGAAATATTCAGATGATACAACAGAAGTAGTGATGTGGGCAGAGGTAGCTGAGAAACAGAAGAACTTCTGTGTGAAACAAATGTTGCTTCTTACCCCGCAAAGCCCAAAATGGGGAGGGAACGACATTTTGGAAAGAACTGAATCTCTTTCCTAAAATGCTTTCTTCCACAATAAGGCATAAAATAATGAAATATTAAAATAAAATATCTAATACACTGTTGCCCTTATAGCCATAATAATATTAGCTTATCCACAAAATTAAGGCAGAGGCAAACATATGAAACAATTGGGAAGCTTATTTCAATGTGTTCAAAACTTTGTTTTCAAAAGTATATGACCAGCAAATAGCAATTCAGAACTGGGAGCTGTGGGTTCGTCTAGAAAAAAACACACAACTGTCTATTTGCATTTGTACAAGAAAATGCAGAGGGGTTCAGTTTCACACATTCTAAACAAGTTCTGGAAGAGGAAGGGCAATTTGCTCACCCTCTATTTGTAAAAGGCATTTGAAGCTGCTCTTAATTATCTTCAGTTAGACTCCCACCAGTTTTGTCTGCAGTTACTTCACCATATGTCTTCTTTTTGAAAACAAAGTTGGTGTCATTAGTGTAGCATTCAGATATGTTCACATCTTATTTTTGAAGGATATTCATAATTGCCATCAAATAAACACTGCAAACATTTTCGTTTTCCTCTCAGAACTGGGATTTTCCCTCAGAAACTCAATATTAAAATGAACATTTATCTGTGTTTTTAGGAACAAGTATTAGTAAAGAATGGGGGAAGGAGCATGTTATCCATATACATAACAGGCAGGCTCAGATATTTACACCCCATGCAGGAACTTTTCTGCTTTTTTGTGGTTGGCTAACATCATGCTGCGTTTTTAAGACAAATAATGCTGAACCCTTACAGATGCTGGATAGGAGAAAGAAAGATGCTAGCTGGTTTTGATAAATTCATTGGGGGAAAGTCAGGTTTTTGAAGAGAACCCTTCAAAAACTCCCCAGTTCAATGAGTACAGTTACTCATTGAAATGATAGAATTAACTGCAAGTGGTTATTTCTTTCATAGAATAAGATAGAGGCAAACAATTGCCTCTATGAGTTCCTTACAGGACAACCATTGAGACATCAACTCAGAAGCCCCATTGAGCTTGAGGTGGCTTAGTGTTCCTACCACACCAAATACTTGTCATTAGATGGCAAAATAACACATTAGGCAAAAGGTATTTATTGACAGTATTAAGAAAATGATTATTTTAATGTTAAGCTCCCTAAAAGGAGGCTGTTTCTACAACCTGTAATGGGGGCAGGGGGAGGTTCTGTGGTGCACAGTAAGCATAGGTGTTGGCAGGTTAATGCTTAGGATCTTAAATTAAAACAGTGGTTCGTTTTCTGCATTTAAAAGACAGATGGGCAACACTTGTGAGTTCATTTTGTATTTGTGCTTGTTATCCTTCATCCACTTCCTAAGCTTGGGTAAAGGACATAGATCAGTTTTTGCATGCCAAACAAATAGAATGTTCTGAACAAATTAAGTTCAATTAAAATGACCTTACAACGCAAGCAACTGAAGCTGTTTTGATCAACAATGGTAAAGTTAGAAGCTAGGATGAACTTCATGTAGTGTAATGGAATGAATAACCCCTTCTTTAAGAAAGCATGAACCAGATGGAAGGCCATGCAGTTTAAAAATTAGAGGCTGCGGACGTGCACTTTGTATTGCAGAGCCCTGCAAGTTTAGATGTAACATACATTTTCTTTGAAAATATCCATCTCTGAATTTATATATATATATGTGTGTATATATGTATATATAGCATGTGTATATATACACCTTTTTTTCCTTGTTAACCTTGTTTGGATGCCAAAGTAATGACTAATGTATGCTTTCAGAATACCTTTTAAGTAATCCCCACTAACTCTTGAGTTTGTAATTAAATTGTTTACTTATGGTGCTAATTCAGCACAATGCTACACTTTCAGAAGCACTTTTATAGCAATACCCAAAGAGTGTATCATGTTACCAGGGTCAGCTTCCACTAAGCACACGCTCTCTTTCTTTTTTTCCTTTTTAAAAATTCTTGCTGTGATAACTAATATCAGGCTGCTAGTTCATATGATTGTGTGAAATATATCCATAAGTCCTCAGTGTTGTAAGCCCATTTAGTCTTGTGTATGTTTATTGTATATAAAGCGGGAGAGGGGACCTCATTATTTGTGTCTTTTCATACCTATTACATACTATTCTAATATGATGAGTTAATTTTATTAAGAAATCCCAAGACTCTTTCATTAATTGTTGGGTGACATAAATTGCATCTAGTATCTTAAGATTTATGGCATTGTATTGCTTTAAGCAGTGTTACCAAGTTCTGCTTAAGATGCTCTCCTTTCTAGTCTCTGGTACCAGGAAGAGGAGTCTAGATTTCCCAGAGGGAACCACACACAATGTTTAGCGATGGGAGCTTCAGCACCAAGTGTGTGTAGCTGACGCACTGTACCCATGAAGCACTGCTCTCAGTTCCTCCCTATTTTGCCTTAAGATTATGTTATTCTTTCAATAAAAAGTCAGTTCAATGAAGAAGAAGAAATGCAGATAAGAACTAACAAACTTTAGGTAAAAAAAAGAGTGTATTCTAATTACTGACCTATCTTAGTTTGTTTGTTTGTTTTTTCCACACCCACCTCTTTTTTTTTGTTTCATTTTTCCCCTGAGAAGCTGTATAATGTCATTAACCTTCTGCTTTGATCAGGAGAGAAGGGCCCCTCCTCCAGTGCCAAAGAAGCCATCGAAAGGTCAGGTGCCACTCATACGGGAACGCTCTTTGGAGAGCTCACAGCGTCAGGAGGCCCGGAAACGGCTGATGGCTGCCAAACGAGCTGCGTCTGTCCGTCAGAACTCAGCCACTGAAAGCGCCGAAAGCATTGAGATTTACATCCCCGAAGCCCAGACCAGGCTATGAAGGGATCCAACCAAGAGGACTCTTAATGGCAAGAAACATCTCTTGTATCATCTGCCCTCCTAGGTCCATGCTCAGAGACACCAATAAGTATTTGTATCCCCCTCTCCCTTTATCTCTCTCTTCTCTCCCAATGAAGTAACACTTCTGTGGCGTAGTTGTCAATCCTCCAAGAGATTTTTCGCTAATTCCCCTTGCTTTCTAAAGGTTTGCCCATGTCAGCCTAACGCTTTGTCACATGTACTGATGCTACCACCTTGCCTCATGTAAAGAATCCCACAGGCACACAGTTGAAGTCACACACATACACAACAAGCATACATGCACACACCTCTGTACAGTAGATACACAAATTAATTCATTCTTGGTCCTTAAAGGTAGTCTGTTATCTAGTGTACAGCAATATTCAATTATACAGTATTTTGGAAATTCAGTATTGCAGGGTAAACCTTTAGGATTCTGTTGTCTTCCTAATTAATGATGAAAGCAGATCTAGCTCAGAATCCCTTCTTGCTATGACCATTATTATTATTATTATTATTATTATTATTATTATTTTAAAAAGATGGCACGCATTATTTCATTCCTAAGAAATCATACCTTCTCGCCTGACTGATCGGAAGGAGCTGGAGAGGTAGGTGTGCTGCAGTAAAAGTTGAAGTTAACCTTTCAGATGAAATGTAAAAGACCTGCAGCTGCACAAACTGCCACATTTTTATTTCCTCAGTGTTGCTTTAGAATCCTTTTTTGATCAGCAGAAGACTGTAAAATCAATTTTCCAAGGAAATAATCTGGGGTTTTTTTAAGGCAATAAAAGGGAAACTTGGATGCAAAGATGGGTGGAGGTTAAATTAAAGAAATCTTAGAATCATATTGTCTAACTAGTAAGATTTTTCATAATTGTACTATATTGCCAATTCCTATGGTAATATATGAAATATATCAGGTTATAAAAGGGGAGTAAAAATAGCCTTGGCTTTGTTGATGTCCAAGTCTTGTCAAGACTTTCAGATCTTGCACATATACACACAGACATTTGCTGTTGAAATGCTGTAAATCAGTGTTCTTTAACCTTTGGTCCCCAGATTGTGTTGGGCTACAACTCTCATAATCCCCATTTAGCTTAGTCCAATGGTCAGGGATGATGGGCATTACAGTCTAACAGCACCTGGGGGCCCAAAGCTGAAAACACTGCTGTAAATGAAATTTGTATTTGTATGCTACGAATCAAACTGCTTACATCAGTTTCTTCTTTCAAATAGAAAATACTTAAATTCTGAAAAATCAAGGAATTGTTGCAACACATCAGATGGTGAACATCTCTTTATCTGTGGAGCATTCTTTTAAGAATGCGATCCACGCCTAATTGTAGGCACTTTGGAATCAAGGCTAGAAAGCAATTCCCAGAAACAGGACCAGGGTGCAGTGGGAACAACAGTGACCATGCCACTACCAACCAACATGCTGGCAGAGAGCATGAAGACCTGCCAGGCACCACAATGTTTTAAGGCTAGCATCCAATATCCTACTAGGAGGAGTGGTGAAAACCAGATACGATATGAGTCCTGGCCATAAGGCATTATAGAGCTAGCAGATTATGCCCTTGTGGAGCTGGTGTGTTCAGATCTATTGACTCAAGTCAGTAGAAGATGGATCTAGCCTGTACATAGTGCTCTCCCATGTGCCACACTAAGAATCCTGGCCCATTTGGTCTTTGGAGCATCTTCCTTGGCACCCAAACTGAACATGACCGTTAGTGGCCCTCACTTGTCACAAAACCAGGAGAGTTCTGCATTCTGCAAATAAGAGATGGTATGGTAACAAAGTACCCCAATTGACTTGATAATCTGTACTCTGCATCTTACCGGAGTTGGCTTTCAGTGCCCTTACTGTTAACACAATCCAACTGTGGAATCCTTGACTGCATGGTTGACATAACTGTATAGTTCACATTTCAAAACATCAGAATTTGCATTGGGAAAAAAGTTTTTTGAAAATATACATGATCCTATCAGGATGTGTCACATTACACAGTGCTTTAATTTTATTCAAGAATTTGGGAGAGGTAATAGGTTCTGGCAAGGAAAACTTTCATAAAACATTTATAAAGCCACTAGAGAATTTCCTACCTCTCAAAGCCATTGATATATCCAAGCTATATGTTTATTAACAGGGCACAAAATATCACTGCTATATTTTACAAGTAAAGGGCTAATAATTCAATATTTTAAAGACTTTAAACAGTATGATAAAAAATCCAGTGTAACTCATCACAGGAACCGATCGTGGAAAGTCTGACTTGCACGGATTTCAATCACATTGTATTTGCTAGGATAAATTTTATTTTATCTGAACAACACTTTTCTCTAAAACTATAGTAGCAATGAAGGCTCACACACTGTTTCAGTCTACATAGTGCCAATTGCCACCTTTAAATATATGGCCATGCTCTCTGTTTAAAAGGTTTGAGGACTCTTTGTATGAACATGTACACACAACAGCACCCAAACAAAAGGCCATTTTCACAGTGACATTTCTGTTTATTTGAACCCATGAAACAGGAATTAAGACTGGTTGACAAGCAGCTTGAAAATAATTCTAATTAAAACGATGCAATAAATCTGGTTTTCTCATCTGCTATGAACATACACTCAGAACTTTCTAGTAAAATCCAATTATTTTCCTTGGGTTTACAGCTAGGTAAATATGTTGAGGATCAGTGCCAGAACTTTTTATTCTAGAATGGTTGTATTTGTACATCATAATTTTGGTATGAAATATAAAAGAATCTGTTAGCATGATGCCTGGTCGTTCAAATTATATGGGTTCTATGTGTGGATGGAAAAATAACTTCTACCTAGTTTTTCAGCAAAACTCAGCTGGCATCCAAATTCTGAATGCTTGCATAGAACATGAGGATGTTGTGAGCGTGTGAGAGCACAGTGGGCAGTAACCCAATCCTGACAATGTATTTCAAGTCTATGATCAGGCTACCTGTTAGAAAGTGAAGTTATATTTGCTATGGTTGCCACACGTTGATTACAGAGCACCATAAATCAGAAGAAGAAAAAAGTTAATGTACAGTGATAACATTTACAATGCAATCCTATGCAGAATCCTTACTACAAAGTATGTCCCATTAAGCTCAATAGGGCTTTACTTTTGGGTAGATGTTATAGCAGGTGTGGAGAACCTTTGGCCTTCTAGGTGTTGCTGAACTACAACTCCCATTATCCTTGGCTATTGGCCATGCTTGCTGTGGCTGATGGCAGTTGTGGTTAAGCAACACCTGGGAAGGGAGAGCAAAGGTTTCTCAGACCTGCATTATAGGATTATGCTGTTAGGACACAATCCAGCCAATGTTAAGCATTTTCAAGTCCCATTTATTTCAATGGGAAAATTAAGCATGTTTTCAAATTTCTGCCACTGAAATTAATGGAATTTAAAAGTGCTTAATTTTGTCCGGATCAGTGCTTCCTGTTCTAATTTTATTTGGACATGCTGGCTTTCTTTTTGTTTTTTAAGTCCAAATCTGTGGGGAAACTGTTCTTCCCAGAATTTCTTTGGTTTTAAATTACAAGATTGTTGGGCGTATTGTGGCTGCTTGGATATGAACAAAAATGGCTTCCTACATCAAAAGTTGAAAAGTATTTATTATATTTTTTTGCAGATGTTTCCATAAAATACTGTTAATCTTTTTGTAATGACCAATGAGAAAATGGATTAAACATTTTAATAGTGAAAAGGAAAATGGTAATAAGTTATTTGTAATATATTTCAGTTTATTTATTGGGTGCTCCATTAGGGTTTTGGTGTGCACTATCACTTTAATTTAAACTTTGTATTTGTGAACTTACTGTTTGATTTTTTCCCCTAATTTATAATGCATATTTAAACCAGAATGTAAATCACTGACATATGTGCATTCTATCTGCATTCCCAATCATGATAATCATCAGTATGTTTTCGATTTGGAAAAAAAAGTGGTACAACTTGCAAAGCCTCTAGATGGAGAGATGGAGAGCATTGTGTGGTTTTATGAATTGGGTTTTCATAAGATTATCTACTTATCTGGTGTGTGGACAAGAAAAAAAAATGTAAATAGATTAATGTTTCCCATAATGTAAAAAAGAGCAAATTAATAAAATAAATAATGCACTGCTTGTAAGAGCTGTGACTTTTCAATATAAACTCTCATTCCCTCTTTGCAAATTAATATTGCCCTTTTTGACAAGGTCATTTACAATGGCATAAGGAAAACACTGTGAGACAATTACAGTGTGGAGGCAATTATAGGGTGGAATTTCCAACTGACTCTGCTAAGACTTGTACGAGCAACAATGCCACTTACATGATCTGTCGTGCTGAGTTCACAGAGTATCCTTGGGTGTACAGCTGCTCAGATATTTCATCTTTGCTGATTTGGTGCCTTGTACCCTAGAAATATTTCAGCCTCTTAGTATTGATGACAATGTAAAAAACAGCAAGCATGATGTCATCATAACATCCAAAGACACAAGCAACTGTACGCCTCTCGCAGTTTATGTGGTCAAAATCACCAGAACCCTTTGGGAAAGTAGCTCATGCCAACGACACCTCCATGGACATTGCACAGCATTGCATCTTTTCAAGAATTTCCCATTGCATGTGTTAGTTTGGTCTATATCTCAGGACCATAACAGTCTTCCAAGTGTCTGTAGGGGAAATAGTTTCTCTGTCCAATCTAGGAGTATTCCGTAGCTGTTTTTCAATCGGGGGGAAACTCCTAACATTGGAAGTCTGCTGCATGGGTTTGCTTTGAGATATATGCTACAGGGTAATGTCACTGACTCTTGGGTTATAAAGTCCAGGTGGTATTTTGGTCAATGACTTAACAAAGTGGCTGAATATTTCTATTGTAATGTGGGCAACCTGAACCTGAGGCCTTAGTAGTGAATAGGACTTTTGGCCTAATTTCATGCAGGTAAGTAAGCAGGAGTGATGGGCATGGGGTGCAGGGCTCCAGTTATACTCATCGCCCCAGAAAGCAGCTTTAAAAAAATTCCATGAGAATGTGGCTCTTGGCAGGGAGTTGACCAGTTCTGATTATATTGTTGCTGAGGTAACTTTTCTGCACAAAAGCCTTTTCATTATTCACATTTTTGCAGACAGGCTTCCATCCTAATATAGCTAACGTACTGAGAAGTGAATCCCATTGTATTCACACCACTTCAAGGTATGTGGGGTTAGGATTACAGCCCAGGAACCTGAAGCTAATTATGAGGAAGAGGGATTTATTGAGGGCCGTAGACAAGATAATGGGAGATATGCTAGGAACCCAGAACCTATGGACCTCCAGATGTTGTTGGACTCCCAACTCCAGTCAATCCCAGCCAGCATGAACAATAGTTAGAGGTAATGGGAGGTAGTCCAGTAACCTCTGGAGGGCCACAGGTTCTCTCTGAGATAGATGACTGGATCATTTGTAATCATCTTTTTATGTACAAGTTTTGTTGGGGATCATTCAAAAGAAGCTAGTCTGTTTTCTGAGAAGTCTCTACTTGTTTGTAGTGTTGGTGCATTTATTCTAATGTGTATTACCATACTGTCCTCTAGGAAATGATATTTGATATCTCCCACCCATCTACCCCCACAGTAGAGAACCACTTAGAAAATCAACCCCCTCTCCAATTAAGCCCATCCAAGAACAACTTCAAGATTTAGATCTGAGTGGGAGTCAGCAACCACATAAATCATATGCAAGAAGCAATCAAGAGAATGATCCAAATAGAGAAAATACTCACCGAACAAAAGGCTGCTTGGCTGGGTGGTCTGGTCATGCAGTTCATAGCCGTCAAGCGTTTTATCAAGAGCAAATGCTTATTTTGTTGAAAATATGTTCCAGATATATAAACTGGAAGTATTCTCAGAATATGAATCAAAAATTTAATTAAAAAAAAAAATCTGTGTATGCAACCAAGTAGCTGGCTTTGGGTATCTGGTCTGCTGACTGTGGCACATGCACAAAATTAGGTTTAGCCTACAACACCATCACATTCCACCCCCATGAGCCTGCCAACCACTTAAGACTGGCATGCTCATGGTCCTACTGCCATGTGAGAGCTGGTACCTGTGTCTTTTCAGTGGTAGGAGCAGGACTGTTAAATATCCTTCCTATGAAGATCCATTGGGCCCCTTGTCTTGTTTGCAGTGTGTTTTTAGTTTGAAAGATTTCTGCCCTTGGGATCTGCTTTGCTTTTATTGCAGATTTTATTTTATTGGCTGCTGTTTCTAATTGCTTTGCATTACATAGTACTTGTTACAACATCCAAACAATAGCATAAAAATGCCAACCTGTCTCCACCACTCACTAACCTTTGTCCAGCACTGAAATGAAGCATCAGCACTCGGCCTTAGACACTTGATTGGCTGTTGGCAGACAACAGCACACACACAAAAAAAACCCTACTCCCACCTGCTGTTTCAGATGTAAAAAGGTAAAGGTACCCCTGCCCATACAGGCCAGTCTTGCCAGACTCTAGGGTTGTGCGCCCATCTCACTCTATAGGCCGGGAGCCAGCGCTGTCCGCAGACACTTCCGGGTCACGTGGCCAGCGTGACAAGCTGCATCTGGCGAGCCAGCACAGCACACGGAACGCCGTTTACCTTCCCGCCAGTAAGCGGTCCCTATTTATCTACTTGCACCCGGGGGTGCTTTCGAACTGCTAGGTTGGCAGGCACTGGGACCGAACGACGGGAGCGCACCCCGCCGCGGGGATTCGAACCGCCGACCATGCGATCGGCAAGTCCTAGGTGCTGAGGTTTTACCCACAGCGCCACCCGCGTCCCTCGTTTCAGATGTAGCACAGATGAAATCAGCTTTTGACAACACAACCATTTCCCCCCTTTCTTCCAGTACATTGCACACAACAATGGATTTCAAAACGTAACATACTTACTCCATCTACCACAATCCCAACTATGATATACCTATGCACACACCTGTATGCACACAAAGACACCCTGTGAATACAATTCTATCTATTAGTCCCCTCCTTAACCCCACCCCCATCCCCACAGTGCCATTTCCCCAAAGCTGCATAAAGGACAACTACCAATTACAAAACTTCCCGCAAGAGAGAATATTACTTACCTGTTCCAAAGGAAATCTACCAGGTTTGTTGGGAGGTGGATTCTGTATGAAATGTCTCCTGAGGCCACAGATTCAAGAAATGCTTCTGTATATTATGGTTTGCTGTTCTATGATGCACACTCACGATATTTGGTGGGTTGTTTGCAGCAGGCGACAGCTCACATCAGTGAATCTCTCCTTTTCCCTCATCCCCACTGCAGCCCCCCTGTACCCTGCTCCCAAAAAAACTTCTCCAAAGTGTCGGAGGAATCTGCTAAGCACGGTGAACTGTGTTCTATGGAAATTATCCATTGCAAGAACTTGCTTTCTGCTCACATAACATCAGATTCCACCCAGTTATTCTTACAGGGAAGTGCAACAGCAGCAGTAGCAGATAACTGCAGCCACAATCTTCAAGACGGCACATTTACATGTTGACACACTGTTATGGATCTGCTTAGCATTGCATGCAAACTGAGCCAATGTTTTGACCAGCTCTCCATTGCCGCACGCTTTCGCCACTGATTTTCATTCGCTCATCCAAAATGAGAAGTGCTGTTAACTACTGTCGAGCAGGTACTTTTCCACCAACCAGAAGCTAGCATCCTGCAATCATAATGCTGCGGTCCGTAATGTGAGTGTTCTTACTGCCTCTGTCTTAAAGGTTTAAGCAGCAGCTAGTGGTGGGGGGACCTTTCCAAGTTTGGTTACTGTTTCAGCACCTGCTCTTCATAGATTGTACTTTGATCTTAACATGCAGCATACTGCTGATGAAAGTAGGGTTTATTGGTTTTGTTTCCACTGATGCTTTAAAAGAGTCGGGAACAAAGCATTTCAGGCAGATGTGCCAACCACCACCTGCCCTGCCCGGTCTTCCAAGCAGCAGAACAGTAAGTTCTGTTTGCACAGATTGATGAGTAATTTGTAAGGGACATGCAACAAATCCATTGTTATACCTTAGATGCCATTCCCAATGACAGCAGCTCATGGAAACAAGTCTTCGTTGTGTTTGTACTTGAGCACTCTGGTCAGATCCAAAGACATCCAGCCTAAAGAAAAGTTCTGGGGAACTGAAAGTTCATTTGCATCTTAATAAAAAGTATTATCCCATCATTACTTCTCTTTTGTTTTTCTCAACATGATAACATTTACATTATTCTGGTTCATACAGTAAGATTCCTAAACCAATTACTATGCCTTTCATTACCAATACTGGTTTTAAAACCAAATTCAAAACTGAATTACAAATAGGATGCTTCCTGATGGGTGCTTATTGTGGGATGGATGCTCCTTGTGCATGCATATTTTTCACCACATCCATTCATTGTTGTCAGGGGTGCCTCAGGTCCCAGCTCACGAAGGACCCACGCCAGTGTCTCTTTATATACAAAAGTCTTTATTGAAGTTCATTGTTGGTTTTACATCCGTGGCGCGCATCCCTACGTCTGTAACTCTAGACCGTCGAAGCTCCGTCTGACTCTTCCCCTCCCCTACACCAGTTTAACACCCGAGCTTTGCTCCACCTCTTCCTCTGCTTCCTCTGCTCTTTTCTCCTCTGGGTCCTCCTGCCCCCTGGGGTCCCACCCTTCCTGGACTCTTCGGAGGTGGATTCCTCTGACTCCTCCCCCTGTCTCCGGCGGGCTTTGGGACCTGGCTCCCAATCCAGATTTTCTGCTGACCCGCGCGCCTGCACATTTGAACTTGGCGCGCGCCCAGCCGGCCACTTTCCTCCTAACGGCTACACTGCTCCTGTCACTGCTTCCCCCTTCGGGGGGGCTGGCTGGAACTGACCTCCGCTCCGCCCCTCCACTCTCCGATGGAGGCGTGGTCAGTTCTGACTCACTCTCTCTCCCTGCTGGAGAAGACGCTGGTTCTGATCTGTGGGCTTCTTCCCCCCGCCCCCCCGCTACACTCTGGCGGGGAAGCTGGCCCTGATCTCCAGCTGCCGCTTGGGGACTCACCGCTGGCCCCCCTTGCCCTGACCCTGGGCGCCTCTTTCTGGGAATCTTCTGATTCGCTGGAGAGACTCATGGAATCTCCCGGGTCACTGTCATACCCTCCTAAGCTCCCCTCAGATCCTTCCTCTTCGCTCTCCAACTCCTCTTTCCCCTGTGGCTCTGCCCCTGAGCCCCTGACAATTGTGTTTAGCATCAAAATGCCAACCCATCTCCCTTCCCTCCTTAATTTGGATTTATCCTAGGGGAGGAGCCAATAAATTAATTTATTGCTGTGAATGACCCCCCCCCTTTTAGTATCAATATAAATCCCCCATCTGTAAGCACACAGAGGTAAACCTTGGACAACAGGAACTTCACTTGCAATGCAGTCCTATATAGGTCTGTTCAGATGTTAGCCCCATTGCGTGATACTTCGTTTGTGTGTGTGCAGGATTGCAGCCTCAGTACAAGATACTAGTAACTGAAAACACAGAACAGTACCCAGAGATCTGGGCTCCTGCTGGCACCTCTGGTACACAAGTGATCAACTTTCAGTTTCCAGTATAGTTTTCTGCAGATAACTGCATCTGGAAGTGGTATGGAAATACAGCGGTTAGCCTTCAAACGATTATGGAATTACTCAACAGCGATTCTGCTTCAACATTTAAAGTGCAGCTTGAGCTGTCAGCAAATTCTGAAAACTACCTCATGAGCCAACACAGCAAATGCACATCTGAAACATCTAATCTAATCAACACCAACTCAAGATGATGGGTTGAATTCAGATTTCCAGCTGTGGAAGGTCTTGAGGCCAAGCAGAGCTTCCCTGCTGAAGCAAGAAGGAAAGTTGATTTTTATCCATTGTAGCCCCCAGCAACACCGTCCCAACTTGTTCCCGATGATCCCACCAACCCTCTGGAACAGATTTTTAGGTGGTACAGCAGGTGGAGCTAAAAGAAGAAATAAGAATCAGGGAAAACTGTCTCCACTCTTGCAGCAGAAATATTCAGTGAAGTGTCGATCTGGCAGATCTGGATCTAATCAAATTCTTTGCCCTCCTCCAGATGGGAACAACCAAACCTGACTTATAGCAATAGCTTCCACTCATTTCATGATCAAAGACTTAATGGCCTGGAGGTCCCAACGTTTACTGAAAAACACCTCTTGTTACTACTGGCTTGGAGAAGAGTATTTTCAAGCAACAGTGCACAGGGGAAGAATACCTAATTATAAAACACAAAGGAGAAGAGCACAATGGGGAAAACGAACATCAATATGGAAAGCGTGAAAACAAATGGATTTGCAATACAGATTTGTTATTTTTTAGGGGGGGGGGAATTCATTGCTAATGTTTAAAGTGTCTCATATTTTTCTATAATGAAGTTTTTTCAAGCATGTGTTTAGGATGATACTGAAATTGTTTCAACCAGAAGCAGGCATTGTTGTTTTCAATGGGTACCAAAAATGCAATGTTTGTAGAAATTCTACGAAAGCATCTATGCCAACTCTCTTGTAACCTATAGCTCAGCGGTAGAGCATCAGCTTTCTAACCAAAAAGTCTCCAGTTAAGTCCCTGACATCTCCAGGTAGGGCTGGGATTGTCCCCTGCCTGAATGAAACCCAGCAGATCCACTGCCAGGCATCCGAGACAATGCTGAGCTAAACAGTCAGACTCAGTATAAGGCAATTGTTGGTGCAAATAAAATAATAGGTATAAAAAGAATTCATTATGCCAAGTTCCAAAGTTTGGGTGAAGTATTCTCTGGTTAGAGAACAACCCCCCCCCCAACCAAAGCAGAGATTTATAATAACAAAATATGCAGCAAAGTAAAGCATGGAAATACAGGCTGTTACACATTTAAAATATGCCCTCGTGAGTTCCAAAACTCCCCTCTTCCCCCAGCATAGGAAATGATCACGGTTGGAAAGTTAAAAATAGGTTTACTTACAAATTCTTCGAAGGTCAGATTCGTGTATGTTTCTATACAGCAATCAGAGAAAGTTGCACAGCCAGTAAAACTTAGTTTAGTTCCAAAGTGGTGAGAGTTCCTAGATTATTGGTATAGGAACTCAAGAGTGGCTGGTGAAAGTCATGCAGTCTGAGCTGGAGCAACCAGCTCAAACCTCTTTACACACTGAGCTCAGGTAGACTAGAAGACAACAATGGGCCTTATTACCTAGTTCCTCCCAAGGTGAGGGGAAGTGGAGCCTGGTAGGAGAGCTTACTGTATGGTATTAACCCCTCAATGCATTAATAAGGCCTTTGTATGTTGGTTAGTTAAGGCTAGTTATCCCACAGAAATTTCCTTGGTTCCTGTGCAACAGTTCGGGTGTAAGTGGGGCAGGATGGCATAGAATCCAGAAAATCTTCAGAGAAAATGAAATTAAACTCTTAGCCTGGATTAACCAGTACAGAAATTAGAGGTGAAAAAACAGGGTTTTTATAAATTAGGCACAGAACAAATTAGTTGCTACTATGCACACATTCTACTAGATTCCCCCCCCTGACATAGATTTTCTAATTGCATTGCTTTCTGTGGCCTTCTCCTAGTCCAAATGTATCCTTTCCCATAGTCCAAATGGGCAGATATGTGTGTTTGTTTCCTATGAGAGCATAGCTTCATTAATGTTTTTTCATTTATTTAGATCACTTTCAGCAGAAGTAGTAATCATTTTTTTTTTAAAAAAAGGTCTCTTACATTAGCAAAAATATTGCATAGTTTTACATTTTCTGAAAGAAAAGGACCGACTTCAGGGGAAATGTCAAAGCTAAGACAGATAACAGCCGAAACAATTTTAGAAACACTGAACAAGGTCAGATAATCAACACTGTGACTAAAATAAATAAATATACAGCTGCTGGGAAATCTGATGGATGCTTGCTCATTGAAATTACAAACGAGTAGCCACCTTGACAGTAAGTGTGTGTCTAATTCAAAAAATTGTTTCAGCTGGCCACAGCTGCCTTGAGCATTCTTGCATCAATAGAAAAGAGAAATCTAAATCCTCATGACACATACATAAATCCAGGAAATCTTTCATACCACTCCATCACAAGTTAGGGGGTGCAGTTCTTTCACGTCAAAACATTAACCAGTCGCTTGTGATATCTCAAGCAATATTGCACTTCTTAAGCTATTGCTTTTCCTGATACCAACAACTATTGGGGCCTTCTTAGACCTAGTGCTTATTAGAATCACAAAATACGCAGGGGTATATATTTTGGTGTAATAGCTGCTTAGTATTTTGAAGGTGGACTCTGTGAATCTTAGAAAAACACCATGTGATTCCCCACCACTGCTCCTTCTGCCATTGGCTGGTGGAGCTGGCACTCTGTAGTCCTGCTCACAGGTGCTGCTGTGGTGATTTCAAGGAAGTCAGACAAATGAGGAGCAGAAATTTTGCATCCTTAAGAGTTTTGTGCCGGGGGAACAGCCCCTGTGGGCCCCCCGCGATACACCACTGTTTACATACAAGATGAGAAAGCGCTTGCAATCAGCACAGGTGTCTTGTTTTGTGATCTAGGCCACTGAGGAATCTGGTAGCAAGGGGAAGTCAAACACTTGGAAGGATATTGAAGGAAACAAATTGCAAAAAAATAGTCTAAGAACTTCTTTACAGTAGATCTGCACAGCCAACTGCTTAATCCAAAATAACAGTTTATCAACTCTGTACGATGAGCATTTAAGGGTCTTCCAAGCCCTTTGAAACTGGACATGGAGCATGTTGTCCAGCTTACAATGTCTTCACTGCCCCACATCCCCCTGTGTTCAGAGATATCTGACAGAGCTGATGCAGGTTTTCCTATCTGTCAGTCTCTCCTCTTCTCCCACTCTATTAGACACACAGGGACATCTGAGAGTTGCTCAGCAGGCAAATTGCTTGAGTAAAAGCTCTGTATGTTCTTGCTATTGAACACAATGAGAGAGGGGCTCTTGATATTGAATTCAATTAGAGAAGTAGTGAAACAAAAAGAGAAATAAAGATTGAAGAAAGTGAGGGAGTTCAGAGATGGGATGAAAGATACCTTTGGGGCAATACAAGAAAAAGAAAGGGGTAAAAGGGAGGGGATTGGCACGCTGGAGTCAGCAAAAGGAGGCAAGTTAGGAGTCACAGCCTTACAGGATGGGAAAGAGAGGAATAGAAGAGACTTGTGATTAGGGAAAGTAGAAAAGGAAATAAGGGAACAGTGCAGGGAGGCCTCTGAGGTGAGGAGACATGAAATAAAACCATTTCACTCTATCTTTGAGAAAAGGCCAACAAAAGAAACATAGTGTAATGAGTTTGTGGGTGCTAAACCCCCTAAATTCCTGGGTCCAGTAGGTGCTAGAATTTAATTAAGGCTTGGGGTGCTAAAACTGAGAAATAGCCAGACCAGTGTGTATTATACTGTGTGCTAGACACCTCTAATCCTTTAATTAAGCCAAGTGTTAATAGCTAATTAATCCAGGCTAACTTTCTCATGAAGAGATAGCCTGGGGGGTGAGCCATCCAGAGGACTTGGTGTGAGACAACAAATGGTTGGGGCCCCTCCCTCAACTCAGAGTTACCTAGTTACAAGATAAAGCCAGAGCTTAGAGTCAGAAGCAGTGAGTTTTTAGAGTTGGCTGGGATGTGACCTGGAGGAGGGGAAATTGTAAAGGTGGCAATCTAGAGACAGAGCAATGTTTGATTTCTGTTTGAATCTGTTCATGCAGAACATTCACCAGGCTTGTTGGCTGTTGCCATTGCCCCATATTAACAGAGACTCCAACTTAAGAAATCTCCAGCGCTTCTTTGGCGGCACATTGCAGAGGACTGGAGGTGGCAGACAAGCCATCACAGAAGTTAATTTGCCATCACTAATGTTTAGGAAGAACCTCCAGCGGAAGAACCTGCAACAGACCCCCCAAAGACTCCCAATGGTTCCTGGAATGCAGTTTGAGCATCTCTGCCTTAGAGAACTCATCTAACAGATTCTGTATTTAGGGCTATATCCAATGCTGCACCAGTGGGTTTCTGCTGGCACAGTGAGTAGGACCTCCTTCCTCATCCAAAATCTGTTCTGGGGTCCCCTAGCCCTTCAGAGCTGATTCAGAGGGCATGTGGGGACTGGAGGAGACGGGGAGGAAAGGGAAGCTCCACTGCACACACAGAAGTCTGTTATGCCAGGAGAGCTGCAGCATTGGAGAAGTCAATAATACAATCCTATGAATTTTTTAAAACAAAGCCAATGAATTTGTTTTTAAACATGCATTTACTTGACCAGGAGTGTTAAACAGATTTCAAGGCTGCACATGTTAAAAGATGACACACATGTGCATATAGATCTGATAACATACTTAAAAAGTCACAGTATACAATATTTTAGCATTTGCTGAGTAATGTATTTATATCAACCTTTTAAAGGGGTACCGTACTTTTAAAACAGACAGTATTTGGAAGAGGAAAGGATCTCTTTACTACAGTGTAGCTGGAAGTTTTGCATTAGTTCAAAACCACACACAAAACGCAATATGAATCCACTATTAAAGAAAATATTTTATTACATCATGAAAAAGCATAATCATTCAAATTCAAACATGTTTTAAAATCTTGAATTTGTTTTTTAAGACAGCCTGTTGGTATATTTTGTTCCACGTGGGAATGATATGAAGACTAATCTTGTTTCTAAATATTGCACAGTCTGGAGAGAAAAAAAACAATGAAAATAATAACAAAACAAAATCACATGATATTGGGAATCATCTCACATTATGAAAAAAAAACCCTACTACAAAACATTTATTTTTTAAAAAAAGAAAAGAAAGAAAACCCTTTTGTTTCTACAGTAGCTTTAAGTCTATAATTCTTGGAATGACCATATCCCACTGAAAACCACTTCAGTGGCAGGAAGCTTCATTTCAGCAATCCCTTGTGCAAATAAGATTAATTAAAAAATGCAGTTAAGTCTTTGATACCATGTAGACAATTGCCACATCTTTCCGTTATATCCCTGCCCCGGGGGGCAAATATGAAGAATGTTTTATATCATGAGTTTCGCCTGCAGCTCCATCTCCGCGGCCCGTTTCAGTGCAACATCCACCAGGAGCTGAAACCCGCTAAAATCCTGGTTGAGGTCTGGAGGGGTCGGTGGGGGAGTGTTGAAAAGCCCACTCTGTGCATTTGTACCAGGTCCCAGCTTAGACACATCCTCGTGGTATAGATGGGCGTTGTCTGTGAAGTTGGTAGGGGAAGCCCGCTGCAGGTCATCCGGGGTCTGACCAGTGCCACCCGGTTGGCCAAAATGGAAAGGAGCATCTTTCAGTGCAGTTACGGTGGTGTGGCAAATTACTGATGGCCGAGCCAAAACGGATCCCAAGGAAGAAGATTTGCAAGTCTTGTTTGGTCCTGTGCTACCGGAGAGGAACGAGCTCTCGATCAGTGGAATGCAGTTTTTTGTGCCAATGGAGAATTCCACCGGGCTGCCGTCAGCCATCTTGGTCCCTCTTCGTGAGATGGTGAACTGATTTGGGTCCTTCCCGTCCTTCCTCAGCATGTCAGGCAAAAGCCTGCGGCGTGCATTGATAAACCAGTTGCAGACCTAAGAACACAAGCACATCTTAATGCCCACCTCCATTCATTTCCGACTCTGTGCCATTAGAGCAGTTGCAGTTAAATCCATGACTCACTTCAAGCAGATTCCTTAACTGCAGGACAAATGGAAGTCCAGCAGACAAGTTATGACACATCCTTGAATGAAGGCCTTTCTTTCCTTCCTGTTTCTACCAGCCCTTTCTGCTTACTAAAGAGCCTCAGGCTCTCTGCTTAGCCTAAACCAATAGGCTTAGTTTTTTAGCTCTGTACACATGTTAACCTGTTACTCATTCTTCATTACATTTGAGTTAATTAACAACAGGAAAATGTTTCCCTGTGAAAGAGAAACTCCTCCCAAAAACAGTTACTGATTTGCCCTGTTCAACTGACTGTGTCAACAGGCAAAACAGAGATTACCTCACTGAAGTTTGCCCTTGTTTGAATATCAAGCCAGTTTCCTGGGCAATAAAAGGACAGCTTAACAACCCTTTTCATGTTTGCTGGATAAGGATGGTTTCTCCTTCTGCCCAGTGCAGACAAAGGAAATTTGCTTATCGCTTACAAAGAAATGATATTCTAAGAAAGCAACAGGATGAGAGTTCAAAAGACAGATTTATGTCTTTAGCAAGCTGGATTTATGCAGTCCCAACACACACACACACACACACACACAATCTTTTTCAGGTGTTCTGCCCCATCACATGAAGGACACACAACCCTATATATTGTGAGTGTGTGTTGAGCAGCAAGGCCTAAAGCAGAGCTAGCATATGGGGGGGGGGAGGAAGGTTAGTGGGGATAGACTTATGTGAATGTCTCCTCATATTTGGCCCTCATTGGTTCAGGCTGAATGTATGAGGAGGAGTGATGTATTGTGAAAATATGTGCAAAATTACAACACACACACACACACACACATTCCAAGGGGGCTGTATCTTTTGTGTTTTCAAAATTTCTTCTGCAGAGCTGCCAACAAAACATCCAGCATATTTTGGCCTGGATTCGAGTGTACACATTCCGGGCTACTTCCAATGGAACTTTGGACCTTGCTTCCTAGAGTCTGCAAGCTTTTATGTGTGTTAGCAAATAGAGACTCCCATAAAATACAGAAGCATAATTTCACTTTGTTCTTGCTGATACAAAGAATTGCGCACTGTCACTGACAGAACTGCGAACAGAAACCAGCCCTCTAACTTTGCATTCTAAGGTCAATCTGAGTACAGACACATGCACATTATTTGCCAGATGCTTGAAAAGAGCTATTTCTATGAAAAGCTACACAGACACATTACATTACAGGCTTATGCTTAAAACTGCTATATTTGGAGCATTGGGGGGACGGAACTCTGCAGTTGCCACTTCTATGTCCCCACTGTCACCCTGCCCATTTTCCAAAGTCACTGTAATTTGCACTCACATCTTGCTCCTGTTTTGGAATACTACAGGGAGCTTAAAGTTACAATATATGGGTTCAGTGAGGCCATTACAGAGATACGCAAATTCAGCTTGTGACGAAAACAGCCAGAGGTAATTTACAACTCTATGACACCATCCATGCTGCTAGAGTGAGCCCAAACCCCCCCCAATCCAAAGCCAAAACAGAACCATCTACTTTACGTGTTTGCACTGGTTTGTAAGTAGATCCCAAATCCAAAACAACACCTTTCAAAATATCATCAGCGTATGAAAATAACACTTCCATTATAGTAAAACATAAGCTCATGGCTATACAACCTCACCAACTAACACTATTATACAATGCAATCCTATGCCTATTTGTTCAGAAGCGAGTTGCACTGAATTGAACAGGACTTGCTCCAAATTAAGTGTACTTAGGATCATAGTCTTAAAATGTAATTGGAGCATCTTTAAATACCTGTAGTGTGGAGAGGTGTGTCTGTCTTGACAGTAGTGCTTTTTCTTGCTCTGAAGGATAAGCATTGAAGCGGTGCTCATAGAGCCAATCCCGAAGAATCTGCACCGATTCCTTGGGCAGGTTACCCCGCCTCCTCCTCTTGACTGAGCTTGCAGAAGAGGAAAGATCCAGAGGGACATCCATGCTGTCATCGTCCTCTGTCTCACTGCCTGATATTGCAACAGCAGCATCTACGATAAAAACGCAACAGTGAACATTGCATGACTATCTCTTCATCTTATCCATTCAGACACATTTTATCACCTGCAATTAAAGCGTGGCAACGAGCATCAGAGAGGCAACCATAAGATCTACCTCCAGTTCCTGTATTCTGGGGATACGGCATAGATGTGCCAGTCACCTTAACAACCATCCACATGGTCTCATACATACAGTGGCTTGCATCATTTGCCAGTACCATGCCAACTATTGGCCAGCAACTGTGGGTATGCAATCCAGCAAATTTCCTTCCAAGCTAAATGCTTCATGATCAGGTAGGCAGGAAGCCAAAACCAAGATTAGATGTCAGTGATATTCCAACACTCCTTAGAAACTTCTAACTTTTAAAATTGTAAACATTTTCTGCTCTTCACAAACCACTTAAGACTGAGCACCTGAAATTTTCAACAGAGGCCAATGTGCCCAACTGCTCCATCAAGGATTAAATGCACAAAAGCCAGTGTGGTATTTTTCAGCCGTGACTCTGTGCTGGCATAGCAGTTGATGTACTATATTTAATGCTGGCACAGCAAATCTTAGGGATGAGCCATGGATCTACCTACATCCAAGTTCTCGAGTTTAACTTGCTTATGGGTGGCATCACTGTTCGTTTCATGTAGTAAATTTATAGGAAACTGCCAAAAACAACAATCACAACTCCCAATTCCCCTCGCTTCTCCACTGCCATGGAACGTTCCTGTGGTGCCTGTTGACAGTGTGGGCTGTTGACTGACTATCACAGGGAATCCACTGCCAACAGCTGGTGTAAAGCCCTGAAATGGGGACAAAATGACAGTGAAATTGGCTGGGCCATGATCCACTACCTCTTAAGCCTATCTAACAGCCAGAATGGCCTGATTTTGGAGATGGGCACAGCTAAAATTAGGCAAAATGCTACCCCTCCCCACACCTTAAGCTTTGGCCAGTACAAGTAGCAGGGCTTTGGATGCAATGGTGGCACTGCTGTTCCATTCAGCCCTGTTGCTCCCTTACATCAGGTATTTTCTAAACTCTGCCTTGTCCCTGATTCTTTTTAACTGGAGAACCAGGGGGAGAACTTGGAATCTTCTTGCATGCAAACAACGTGCTCTACTGTGTTCCTCACCCTGCCCCAGCAGGCTCCATTCATAGCAGCAATATTGTTTCAAGCCTTTCATATACAACTATTTGGCAATAAATTTACAATTCCATTTTGTACCAGAGAGAGCTAACATCTCAATTCTATAATCATATGTCTAGAAACATAACCCCACTGATTTAAGTAAAGCTTACTTTCAAGTCAATGTGCTGAACACCGCAGTAAAAGGAACATCTAAAGAAACTAGCAATGCTTAGGTGGAATCTACACACATATAAAAAACTGTTCTGAAAATGCTTTTTTAAGAGCGTTTTTAAAAATACATTGAATTTTCCATAAGGCTCACCATTGCCATCTAGTGTCACATTGCACTTAAAACGTTTTATTTGCAGCTGTATCGCTGAGTTTAGAAGAAGGTAGTTACTACAGGTCATATAAACAAACTAGTCAGTGCAGGAAACCAAAGCTTTGGCTACATGTCTTTTATTCCCACCAGAAATTTTAGGAATCCAAGCCGTATACACTAGTTTGACAGACAAATCTTATTGAGTTTCACTCACTGGCTGGGATAGATTCAGTCCTAAACCACATTTCACTTGCAGAAGAAAACCAGGCAAATATTAGTCAGAAACGTATACTACAAGAAGACAGAATCTGTGGCCTTCCAGGTGTTGCTGGATCTCCCATCAGCCCCAGCCAGCATGGCCAGTGGTCAGGGATGCTGGGAGCTGCAGTCCAGCAACATCTGAGAGTCACATGTTCCCCCATCCCTGCTATATTCAACTCAGGGACAGTGTAATGTTACATCTAAAACTACAGATGAAGCAAAGGTAAAGCATTCCCATTGAAGAGGGCCAGATGACAGCCCTCTCTCTTCTTCCTTCACTCCCAGAGCCACAAGGGAGATAAGATTCCAGCTAAAAGCCAATGTTAGCACACAACAAGCAGCTTTAGCTGGGAACTTTCGTCATAGGCAACTGCACATGGCGCCTTGACACAATGTCTACCAGAAACCTGGACTCTATTCAATGGAGCTGCAAGGCCAGCAGTCCACACACAGTTAAGCATGGATGGCAGGTCACCAATAAGGAGTCGTCTACTCCCAACCCCATTTACCTGGGAGTAAGCCCCACTAAATTCAATAGTTGTTATTTCTGAGCGGACAAGGCTAGGATTACACTGTAACCCTCAAATTACGATACCTCCACTTCCTTTATCCCCCTCCCAGCAAAGGTTATTAAAAAATGATAGTTGTGCAGAGCATTTAGACACTCATCACTACAGAGCTTCTCGCCCCCTGCCATCCACAACAGTATAGGGTAATATGCATCGCTATTCAACAGGTGGTAACAGTGTTAGTTGCAAAGAGGGTTCAGAATAGGTATGGACTGCACAGAAAAGAAGCCCCCAAACCTAGGTCCCATCATGCATTGTCAAAGACCATCAGGGGCCAAGCCACTAAATGCTCCACCATACCCTCTGGTACTTCTGACCAAACACTCCTGTCTCTTGAAGGATCACAGCAAGGACATACAGAGCAGAGCAGCCAAGTAGAACAGTAGTTCTAGTGGAACGCCCTACAAAGGATGCCCAACTATTGTTTTAATAACAATACTGTTGCTGTTGTTATTGTTGATTTATATACTGCCTTTTGACCCAGAGGCTCCCAAAGCGGCAAACAAAATAGAGACAAGTATAATAAAATGATGAAAAATGGCATAAAAATCAACCAACAACAAAGCAATGTGAGAAAGCAGGTGAACAAAGCCCTCCCAAACCAGTGGGCTAAAGAAAGTTATCACCAACCCACTATCCCCATGTAAGAGGCATGAGGACACCCTCTGCGTCATGGCTATCCCAAGCAAGAGCCACTGCAGCAGAAGCTGCAGTAGGAAACCAGAAGCTTTTCTTCTCTGGGACCACCACTTTTTCTGTTCTGGCACAGCCCTCTCGATGTTTTCCCAGAGAACATAATGACAGTGATGTAACAGCTGCAGCTCTGCCAGGCATGGAAATGCTCAGCCTGTTGCTCCTCTGTCAAGCACAGGAGCCCAGTAGGCACAGAAATTTTCGGAACCCCAATCTTCTATGATGTGTTCCCAAAGTGATGTTGCTCAACAGAAACTCAGGAGAATAATTCTAATGTATATTTTATGTAGTGGTAGCTGGTGCCCACTGAAACTGGTGGGGTGGAAGGCCAGCGGGTGGAGCTAGAGCTAACAGCCAACTAATTATTGCTTCTCCCTGCTGAGTTCTATAGTGTGCAGAGAGTTCAGTGGGTCATTTGGCCATTGTCAGGCTTGCTCGGTGCTTTCCATGTACATAGAGAATATGTACGCAACAGCAAGTGGTTCAAAGAAGCAGACAAGTCAATGGATCTACACACATTGCACAAGTATTTGCATGATGAGTCCTGCCTTGAGGTAAACAGTCATGCTAAAGTATTTTAGTCAGCTAGATCAGGACATTGCCTTAAGAGCAAAAAGGAGGGGTAGTGGAAATGTTACAAACTTGTGCTAAAAATATTCAAAAGCTAGACTTATATACTTCCAGTGCCCCTCCTCAAAAACGAAACTGAAGAGCCTGCTCTTCCCCTCCCTACCCCTCAAAAATAAAAACAAGAACCGATAAATCTCCTGACAGAACAAACAAAAAATTAAAGCAAGAACAAACCAGCAGTGGTGCCTGCCCTTTGATCTGCTTACTTATTGTGACATGTTCCCTCTGCTAAGAGGTTAATGATACAAAACAGGTTTGGGCTAAACAAGAGAAAACTGCCATGCAACTTCTCTTGGGGTAATGAGCTGATTTCAATAATGGAGCACGGGCCCTTTGAACTGCCAGGAGAAAAGTCCCCCTATTTGTGCAGGAGTTGCAGCAACAGGAAACTAGAAGTAAGGCAGCAGATCTCTCCTTAGTCCAGCTGATTTCTCATTAGAGCAAAGGCCACATTGGGGCTGCCATGGCTCTGTTTACACTGCAGCGTTTGTGCTGATTACAGGCTAGCTTTGGTTTTTCCTCTTGTTAGTAATCAGTCTGCGCATTTGATTTCCTGTTTTAACAGGGCACAGTTAAAAGGCATCCTTCCTAGGCTGTCTGTCTCATGTGTTAACAGTTAGTTGTTTGCTGTGTTTAAAGGAGGGGACAACTATTTGGACATAGAAGTGTTGCCATGTTTTAATTTAGGGTTCTAATGCAGTAGAATTTAGACTTCTTAGGTAATGAAAGTATCAGAGATACTTATGTCAAGTTCCTCAAAGTAAAACAAAGAAAAAGCTGCATGTATGCATGAGTAAGAAGCTTCCAGCGGTCACCCTTATTCCAACTGTAAGTGTGCAGTTCTTGTTCATGTTTCTAGATCAATAGTGGGGATCTTGAAGCCCAAATGCGGCCCTCCAAACTTCAAGTCTTTCCTCAGGCCACAACTACCTCACTGACCCCACTCTGTGCCCTCAAGTGTTTTGGCCTGGCTTGAACGAATTCTTGAACTATGATAATGCTCTGACCATTCTGTTCTAGATAGATCTGGGATGGGGAATCTGTGGCCCTCAAGATCTTGATTGGGGCTGATTGGAGTTGGGGTCCCACAACATCTGGAGTGTTTTTAACAGTGCTCTTTGAAAACACATAGAGAGAGTTCACCAGGTACAAGGTATTGGGACACAACTGGCTTTTGGCACAACTTGCAGGTCTCAATTTTGAAATTTACTCTAGATGCATGCACAGCATGACAGACTGTCAAAATGTATATATGCAAGATTAAATTTCTTTGGATTAACTGCACCATTTTCATCTTCCTGGCACAAAGTAACACCATATTAACGTGCATTAGACCACACACAGACCTGTACACTAGATACTGTTAATAATCTCTTTGATTTTGAATATTAGAGGAAAATAAACCCATTTAATAATAGGCAGGATAACGTAACGGAAGAGCTGTGCTGTGAAGAAGTATTGCAAAGGGTTGAAACCAGCTGCTTTAATAAGATTTACAAAGAGGCTTTCAAGAAGCAGGCTCTCCCTTTGCCAAGAGAACAATGTGCTAGACTGCTTTCTCCAGGAAATCTCTCTCACTGTGTGTGTTTTGTGAAGCTCTACTTGAGCCGCTGCCCATGTTCACAGGAGCAAAACATTTCCAGAAAGCACCTGCAGAACTCATTCCAGCACTGGGTTAAATCACGTGTACAAGATTCAAATCATGCCTAAATGTTTTAAGTCAAGAATTTCCAAACACGAAGAAAAGTCACTACTGTATACTACTGACATGAAGAAAGTACTGTGTTGTACGGACTCTGCCCAAATGCAATCAAGGCGAAAACAAAGGAGGCAGCAGGCTTGCGATTGGCATAGCAATTAAAAATAGTGGCACCTGGCTAGTGTGAACGTACCCAGGACAGCAAGAGAAAGAGAATTTAATGAGACACAAGGGCTGCCTATTTGTCTCCCTAACTTGTCAGAGGAAGGGAACACACAGCTTCAACAGAGAGCAGCTTTTTTGACTGATGCTCTATGAACTACTGTTTTTGTTAGTTAACCAATTCCTAGGCTTCTTATTTTAACAGCCCTTTTATACAGTGTTGATCTAGATGTTTTCATATATTGCTTGGCCATTGTGTTAAAACCCAGCTTGAGGAGTTCTTTTTTTTAAAATGGGGCAACAGGTTTGTTAAATAAACAAACTCACCCATAGTCATAAGCCAAAGAGGGATCAAAGAGAAACTCCAATCTCTGAGCAGCTGCTCCCATTCCCCTTAGCCAGATTATTTTATTTTCACAAGGTGTGTGTAATTCTAGCCTGCCCCCCCCAAAAAGCACTCTTTTAGAACATGGTTTATGGATATGAGATCTGATACACAGATCAGAACCATTTGTACAGAATATGCTTCCTCCCCAAATGTGCATCACTAGGTATCTCATCATTTGGGCAAGTACCACAAACAAAGGTTATGGAATAATATACATTATTCATTCCACAGCAAGGGGAGACAGACATCATAATGGTTCATATACTGAAACATACCAACTCCCTCTCCCATCCCTCCACAGACTGCATTCCTTGACTTTAATCCTCCTCCCTGTGTGTCAGCTTGATTTTAAATCCACATACACATATACTTCTCATGTACAAGAAATCACAAGTAGTACTCAAATTTACACAGAACCAAGTTAAGTTTTATATTTGATAAACTATTTGATAAATTGGGATCAATTGCTGGGTGAAGGATGGGCTGAGAGTGAAATAAATACGTAAATAAATAAAACCAAGTATGTTGAACCCTTACTTTAATAGGAACTTCCTTCCACGTTAGGATAATAGCACAGAAAATACTTCAGGGTTTTTCAGGACAGATGATAAACTACAGACCACATGTGCCAGCTTTGTAAGCCTATCATTTGAAAATGTTGAATTACACTGTCTTTTAAAGGTCAGGCCTCTGCAAACTTCCAGCTTGCAACATGTGCTCCCAATGCACTCAATGCACTCCTCAACTTTGAAGTCCTCCCTCTTAATCATGACATCTTTTCCTTGTTTTGCTTTTGTGCCCTGCCCAAGCTCACTAGACAGCTAGGCTGTTGAACACATGACAAAATGTAAATGCATTTAATGTTGAGTTGGGTTAACAGTTAGCTTTGTATGATGCTTTATATTTAAAACACACACACAAACAAATGGAACAGCTGCCTAGAGTGAGAAGCCAAAGGAACAATGGAAGCAGCAGCAGACAGGAAACCAGCTCACCACCACTGTGCAAATAGAGGGAGCAGAGGAATGCTCTAAAAATAACTATTCTAAGTAATTCACTATGGAATTTTTGTCCAATAATGTTACTAATTTGTACAAACTGGGAAGCTCAAAAGCCAGGATGTATGACTTTAGCCACAGAAAGGGCAGGTCATGGTATGTAACAGAGAATCCAAAGTTACCGGTACTCAGGCAAACAAAAACTTTTGGACAGGATACAAAGTTATAAGCACAAACTTTTATCTACAGATATTCTTTTCGTTTATGGTGGGCTTATATTACCCACTTACCACGGCCTAACTGTAGCATTTGTGTGGCCTGGTTTCCTTTGTGTGTCTAGTTCTGCAGCTCCACATGAAAACTACAAACTATGGCCACAGAAGACCTCTTAAGTCCAAAACTGAAGAGTAGGTGTACACACACACACACACACACACACACACACACACACACTGCTACAGGACTCCTGGCAAAGTGAGAGGAATGTTTGAACTATGAATGTAAAATGTGTAGTTTAAACAAAAGCCAACTCTACAGAATGCAACACTTTTAAAGCCCAATAAAAAGTTAGCCTCACTGGGGCTTACTCTCAGGTAACTTAGTAAAGCACTGCAGCCTAAGGCAGTACACCTAGAGCAAACCCCACTGAGTTCAATGGGGCTTACTTCTGAGTAAACATGCATAAAAATAAGCTGTTTTTTCACAAACAAAAACAGTGGCAATCCGCTCCTTAAAAGGGTAGGAGGGGGAAATCCACTCTGTCAAACGGTGTATTTATGCGAGTTACCAAGTTATTTTATCATCACAGCCTCTCTCATTCTGGGGGAAGAAAGTGTACCTAAACCTGCTTTCGCGTCTTGTATAAACACACTTTGCATCTTTTTAATAAAACCAAAAGCCCTGCACCAGAGTTTGCTTAACCGCTTTTTAAATGGCTCCACCCCCGTCTCCATGCCCCCCTCCTAGCCGAAAATCGCAAACAAAGAACGCTCCTTCGCTTCCCATGCTCGAGGAAGGCGGCTGAGATTCTAAAACGTAAAAAAACCGGGGGGGGGCGGACGACCAGAAGGCACATTCTTGTTTGAGAAACTTTCAGTATTGAATGAGAGAGAAGGCAAGAAGTAAAGCAAAACAAACGGGTTTAAAAGAGAGAAGGGGGAGGGGGAAGAGAGACTAGGAGAAAACTTTGTTCGGACACAAAGCAGGCAGTTGGAACATGTTTTTGACAGGGCGCCAGCAGCATGGAGTTGCAGCCTCCAAGCAGACAGCTTGTGTTTTGTCTGAGCGGAAAACCCCCCTCGACTGCCGTGTAAGACACGGACTGCACACCAAGTTTCTGGGGGAAAGTCCGAGCTCTTTCCCAAAGCGAACTCGGGAGTTGCAAAGCAGCACCGTCGCTCCCTCGCCTTCGCCTCGCAATTGTTTAGCAACACCACGAGGAGGGCAGCGAGGCGCCTCAGAGCCCCACCAAACAAACCCACTTACTTTTTTTACTTTTCATCTTGGTGCCTGGAAACTCCTTCTGCCCAATCCTGGAAGATTCCTTCTATTTCAGAAACGGGAGAGGGGGGAGCAAAGAGAAACTTGGGGGGAAATGCGGCGGTGGGAGACCAAAAAAAACACCCCAAAACCCCCACACAACAACTCTCCGGCAAGTTGTTTCTGAGGGAGGGCGTCGAGAGGGCGGAATGGCCAGGGTCCTCCAGCCCCGGCGGGGAGCTGAGAGAAGTAACTTGAGAGCGGCGCGCTCGGGCTGGGGCTGCTGCTGCTGCTGCTTTCTTTGTTCTGTAACTTGTGCCTGGCGAAGTGAGGCAAGCGCAAGCAAGCGGCTGCCTTCGCCGCCACCACGAGGTGCGCCCTCCCCCACCGCCCAGCAATGAGTAAGCGAGAGAGTAACCAGGAGCCGGAGCCGCTTTACCCGCCTCCTCCTCCTCCTCTCCCTCTCCCCTGGCTGCTGGCTGGCGGCGAGGGCGAGCGACTCTGTCAGATACCAAGGCCAAAGAGAGAGGAGGGAGGACGCGCAAGCTCTCTTGCGAAGCGGAGGGCAATGGTGACGGGGCAAGGCAGGCCCGGGCCTTCCGTCTGCTTCCTGCTCTCTTTCCCAGGCAGATGGAGGGAAAGGGGGACGCCCCTGCCGGACCCCCGTCTCCAGCGAACTCCGCAATTCGTGTGAATGCGGAGCAGGGAGGGAGGGAGAAGAGGAAAGGCAGCGGCGCGGCGTCAAGAAAGTTGAGCCTTTGCAACTGAAACGCGCTTATTCGGAGCTAACTCCGTGAGAGTTGCAGCGCAATCCTAAACGCGTCCACGCGGAAGTTAGTCTTACTGATCCCAATGGGATCTTGAGCGGGTTAGGATTGCAGCCGAGTAAGCCCCATTGAAATGCACGGGGCTCGCTTCGGAGTAGGCGTGGTTAGGATTGCGCTCTTACTCCGGAGTTAGGCTGGCAGCCTTGCCCAATCTCTCCCTCCATTCGGCAAGCCCCGCTTTCCTGAGGGAGGGGGGAGAGGGCTCTTCCACCTCCCCCCTCCCTTTCTGGGCTTGTTGTGACTGCCGGAGCTGCCTCGTGCTATTGGTGGACGCGTCGCCCTTGAGCCCCTTCGGAAATTCCTGCCATGCTGGAGAACCAGTCAGACGCTGTCATGCTTTACAACTTATCAGTCATGCCGAGTGTGAGCAACAACTGCGGCGCAGAGTCTGCTTTCTCTCGTCCGTCAGCGCCGTTTCAGATCAGCGGCTTTATCGTGGCCAATAGGTTGTGAGGAGGCGACCAGAAGTGGCCCGAGAGAGCCTCAAAACGACTTGGGGAGACGTACTTCACCCGAGTCCGCGCTACAGGAAGGAACTGTTTCCTTCAGGGACTCCTTGCTGAGATCCCAGTCAAAATCCCCGTTATTTCTCTGGTCTGTGTGATGGGCAGCCTGATCCCAAACCCCTGTTACTCAGAAGTAAGCTCCACCGGCACCGGGTTCAGTTGGGGGCTCACTTCTACACGTGTTTTGGGGTTTCTAGGTACAGGGGCTGAGCTCCCCAAGTGCTGACCTAAGTGCCAGGGAAACCGGTTTCACACCTGACTATTCTCCTCTCAGACCACCTGCTGCTCCTAATTCAAACGAACAGAAAAAGGAAAGTCACCATTACGTCAGTTCCACTCATGTGGAGGGAAATTCGCCGCTGCTGGAGCGGTTTCTCCACTCCCCACCCCCGGGCTTCTAAAAATGAATTGTGCTCAGTATGTTTCGAGTGACATGTTCATTCAACAAGGAAAAAAAAGGTGCATGTGACTTCTTGAAAGTAAGTCTCTCACGGCTTGGCTCACCCCGCTGAGCAAACACGTGCGTTAGTAAAGTTTATTTTGCTCTGAGATGGCGAGATAGACGAATTGCTCTAGCAACGTCTCTGGGATCGAGCCAACTCCAGCCGAAGGTTGTTTGTTCCCCCTCCCCTTACTCTTCTTCACTGCAACTGGGATTGGCTCCGGAGTCCAGTCGTTTATGAAGGAGGTTGGCTGAGTGGTTCCTTCTCCAGTTACAGAGGAGGCGGCGGCTGGATTCATTCCTTGTGGGAAAATCCATCTCACTGGGCAATGCAAGAAAATGTGTCAAGGAATCAGGAAAGTCAGCCTCTTGCTCAAGGATGAGTCCTTCGCATTTCCTGGCTTTAGAAAGGAAAGTCATGACTAAAATGTAAATGTCATGCAATCATTGAGCCACACGCCCCAGCAGAAAAGCTGAAGGCATGCTGCTTTGTGGAGCACCTTCGGAACATCACCCAGGAAAGTTGCGATTGCTTAATGGAAAGCGAGGCTGCTGCCGCCCACCCCGCCGCTGCCAGGCTAGGAAGCTCCCCAGTGTCAGCTGTCCCGGCTGGAGACCTCGCCGCTCACGCACCGTGTGGTTGCATTTCCGGAGGGCAAACAAGAGGCCAGTTGAGCCGCCTCGGGCTTGTTTCGAAGTAAGCTCCACATAGCCTTTGCTGCCTAAGCCCCGTTTCTCCCCTTTTTGTAACCATGGTATTTTTATGGCTTCTTTGCGCGGAAGTAAGTCACATGCAGGATTGCAGCCTCAAAATGAGGCAGGTGGGGTAAGGTTGGGGCAGTAGTTGCCATCACTCCTATTTTGCATATCATAACTAAAGGTCATGTGGCGGCCACAGAAAAGTTTTGTGTGTGGTTTCCCCCCCCTTCTCAAGACAAATTCAACCTGTCATTAGCCACGGGATGGCACGCGAGAACTTCTTTTTCGCAAGCCAGTCTCATTGAGCTCAATGCACTTTTCCCTAGCAAAGGACTGCAGCCCTGACTTCTCGGGATAGACATAAAATAACGAGTCATGTGGTACCTTAACATAGGAATATAGACAACTGCCTTACACCGAGGACACATTCAAACCGCACAAACAACATTTAAAGTGATACCACCCCAAAAGATGCCGGGAAGTGAAGTTTTGTTAAGGGTGCTGAGAGTTGTTAGGAGACCCCTATTTCCCTCCCAATTTCAGAGCGGTTTAACTAGAAACGCCTCTTCCTGCGGCTCTCAGAATTCTTCTGTGGAAGCCTTGACTGTTTAAAGTGGTCTCATGGCGTGAACGTGGCTTGAGTCACAGGTCGGCGGCGTCTAGTTCACAGTGACTCTCCAGGATCTCAGATGCCAGAGGCTGAAGCTGGGATCAGTTTTATTTGTTGCGGCATTAGAGTCATGGGCCACGAAATCTTATGCCACAAAATAAATGTCCCAAAGCTGAAAAATGCCGCAAGACTCTTCCGTGTAAGAGCCTAACTAGACCGCCCCTCTGGAATATGTGTGCCGGGAATTACGCACAGTCCTGGAGAACTACCTCCCGCCGAGTTGGTGTTTCGTGTTGCGCGGCATGCCATTTATTACGCTACCGGGAAAGGGAGCAGGAAGAACGCTGTCAGTTGAGTAACAATCCCCTGCAGCGCCAGCCGGGTTTGCTCGCCCCAGACTTGGGAGGCGCTTCGGTGGAAGGCCGAGATTGAGTGGCGAACACCTCATATCCGGAGCTGCTGGGGGCGCCGCCCAGGCAGCCGCGCTTGAATCACTCCCGATCCCGCTGGCGGCCAATGTGCTGGAAGGAGACGCGGCCCCGGGAGGAGGAGGCGGCGGCGGCGGCGGCGAAGGCGCGGCCTTTCCCGAAGAAAGAGCAGCCTGTGTGACTTGCAACGGGTTTGCGCGGGACAGCAGCTTCCTCGTTTGGAAAGCAAAAGTTGACGCTGCTGCTCTCGCCGCGTGTCGCCCCAGTGCCCCAAATCCTCCTGTGACGTAGCTCAAGTTGGAGAGAGAGAGAGAGAGAGAGAGAGAGAGAGAAGTGTGTGTTTTGAAAGTTGAAGACACTTCCTTTCAAAGCTCAAGAGGGAGTTTGGCTCTTGTGGCTTGACGACCTGGTCCAAGCGACCCACGGAAATCAGACAGGTCTAGGGCTCCGTTATAGGAAAACAACAGCAACCAACACACACACACACAGCTGTTCAGTGAGCTTGAACGTTTTCTGCGGGGGAAGGTGTTTTTGTTGGAAAGAGTCGAATGTGTTTCTCAGGCTGAAAGGGAGTGACTCATGGAATTTGCTTCAGGTACTTTTTTCTTCCTCCCAGCTGTTTTGTCTGAGGTTACAGCTGGGGTTTCACACAGCATACTAGTTCTTAAGTAATCGGAGGCAGTTTTTTTGTTTAAAGGAGAGATTAACAGGATATGTCAAGAACAATCAAAACAGCCTGACAGGCCTAGCAGCTGTTGTCCTTACTCACAGGCATGCTCATGTTTGCCTATTATTTTAGGAGAGCACCCAGAAGTTTATCAAGGAGGACAGTTCCGGTATCTCTTCCACTCCCGGTATCTCTTCCATTCCCCTGTAAAACTATCCCACAGATAGGCCTGGCACTGGCCAAGGTCCCTAGGAGTGCAGAAAGGCCCCCTTATTGACCTGACTATACTGCCACACCTTGCCCTGCCCATTTTATCAGTGGGAAGCAGTGCCACTTAAATGGGAGCCAAACTTGACTGCATTAGGGGTGCGAGTGTTTAGAGGCCCATCGGCAGCACTTTGCAGAGCCCCCACCCCCTTGAAGTCTGATGCCAGCCATGCCCACAAAAGGAGTCTTCTTTCCTACATGGAAAGAAGACAACGGGGAAGAAATAAGGTGCTGCAAACAAACCTACTTGGAGGTTGTGGCATCTGCCCTGTTAGGCCCTGGCTCTTTAATTCCGAGTGAGGATCCTGGTTACTTTGCAGCAAAGGAGAAACACCCTGCATGTGTTCAGAAAAAAAATCCCATGTTTATTATTTCACATATTCCAAGACTGAGTTGTGGAACTTTAAATCAACATTTGTTTAGGTTGGCTGGAAGGACACACTGCGATGCATTCAAGTCCTGTTGAAATAAATCAATAATTAGAAATGCTATTTAAATTGACTTTGTCCAGTGCAGACAAACTTTCAGATCTCATTAATGGGTCCTACTTGTGAACACTTGGTGCATTGCAATAATTATTAATCAAGTTTACTTAAAAATCTCATAAATAAAACTCCTAGGAACTGCATTTAGGATTATAGATTTGCAACATAATCATATGCATGTCTACTCAGAATTAACTCCTGTTGATTTCAGTGAGATCTATTCCCGTATAGGACTCCAGCCTTCATTTCCTGTCAATATGATAGTGCTTTATTTATATATAGTTATTGTGATACATAAATTGCCACAACTCCTTAAAACCCAAATACTTAACACTTCATAGCAACATTTTGTTATCTCTTTTATCCTCACAGTGATTATTGCTTCTCAGATGTGGTTGGATAGTTCTAACTTGTCTGCGCCTAATCCAGACTGAGTTGCAACTGACAGGTAAGATAGCTATAACAAACGTCGTCACTGCTGGCCTCATGGGCTTGGAACCCAGTGGAAAGTATACTGGACTTCAGAGTATCCCAGCTTCCCCATTCAGGCCCCAGAGCATTATATTCTTATGTGCAACCCAGTCTCCAAGTGATAAGAAACTTAAGGGGTACCAGCACTTACCTCTGGTTCAGTGAAATGAAGGTCACTGACAATTGAAGCATCTATTTGATATATGGTTTCATTTACGCATATGTACAAGCCAAACATAAGATGGAAGGGTTCACAGCACTAACAGTCCAACAGATCTTACTTTCCCATTAGGTTTTGGGCAGTGTCTGTGTTTCCAAAGTTTCATTTCAGCACAAAGAGCAAGTCAAGCCACTGTGTCTTTCTAGGTACCAGAGGAACTAGGCTAGAATTGTACCTGGCCTATTATCGTCCTAGCCCTAGGACGATGTGGTGTCCAGCCAGGTGGTGGTGGGGAGGCATCTCAAGCTGGGCAACATGTATTGGGGGAGGACCTCTATGGCAACACACCTGTCCTCCCCCCCCCTTTTAATAGCATTTCTTTATTGAATTCAATTAAGGCCCACTCCAGTC